GCCTGTACGGGATTCGAACCACTGACCTCTGCAATACTAGTGCAGCGCTCTACCAATTGAGCTAACAAGCCAACTGGGAGCAGGCTGTTAAGTTGATTCGTAATAAATCCGTGATGATAAATCAGATACAACTTTATATATTCATTGTATCTAACTAGATTTTCTACAAAGAAACAAAACTGATTTCAATTGCCTATTTATATCCATTCATGTTGCCATGGCAATGACACCTACGACAGCTTAACTATCGAAAAAACAAAGTTTGTGTTATTAACTTGCTTGCTGCCAATTTTGGCGACCGAAAGATCAAGGATTTTAGAGAAAATGGTGAAAGAAACAAAGGTATCAAAAACTGTGTTCAGCCACCTTAAAGCTTGTAAACTGCACCAAACTAGTGGATGTAAAACGTGCCTATTCAACTATTCGACGCGCTCGCAGATGGAGGACTGAGGACTAACCACAGCGGCAGTGAACCAGCAGGGCCTAGAATCGAGTCTGTCACGATGTGTCACACACGCCATTTCGATGCATCAAAATGGAGGGTTCTGCGGAAAAGGTGAGCTTATCTGTCAGTATCCACACTCTATCCAGCTTTTACTAAACTAGCCAAACTACAGTACCGGATACTCCTCCTAAGCTCTACCACAAAGTTTTTTCAATTACCCAAGCCACAAAAGATCTAGACATCGACAACAATAGAGACAAAATTACCAAACGATGGTCATGTGCAACAATATCTACTGTAGCACATTTCAGTAATTTAAGGTAAAATGTGTAAATACATTTTTGTAATGATTGTATTTGTATGTTTTGCGAAAGGTAAATCGTATTTGTATTTTTATGCGAAGCATTATTTAGCCTTGGCATTTTTACGTGAAACGTGATTGCTTGCTTTTTTCTGTGAACGTGAAGCCGTTTTTTTAATTTTTCGTGATGCGTGAAAAGGCCATTTACTTACGCGTGAAACTGTTTGCAGAAGAGGTATAGGGGACCCTCATATTATCCAGGGCACTCATATGAAATTCCTCCAATAATTTTGTTGATGTTTAAATTTTCTGCGAATTAATTTCATTAATTCTCATATCAGTATTACTTACTGGTTAATGTGTTTTCGCAGACTGTCTCTGACTTGATTTTTGGGCAGAGCGTCCGTCCAAGTCTGCTTTGATAAGAATGTTGCAACATGGCTCTCGACTCTTTGCTTCAACTGACGATAGGATTCCTAAGTAAAATAAAGTTAACATCCTTGAAGAACAATGTGTATGGGTAGAAAAAAAAATATAATGGTATACATAAGCTTAAAGCTGCATGCAATAAGTTACGCATCTTACATCTCCTCCTAATCAACGATAGTTGATAAAATACTGGTCGTTCAACCAACCTTCTGCTCCAATTCGTCAATGCAGTCACGTCTAAACTGATCAAAAATGCCCTGTGATTTTACATGTTGTACAATCTGGTCGACTAAAAGCCTCGATTTGTAATCGAGTTTCGCCGGTCGTTCTGCCGCCATCTTGAAAGTTGGCGAAAGATATCTGTCCCAGGAGTCTGTGCTCGATAACCTCACCTCGGTCCAGTCTTCTTCGAAATTTATTACACATCTGAGGTTCATGTTGGGCAAACTTCTCTTTTTAACACGGAAGACTCTGGAGCTGTGATAGAGCTTGATTCTGGAAAACGCTATTACTACCGATTTGCTCAATCACGTGGCTACGCTATCCGCGAAACCAAGTGTTTTCGGCGTGATCGCTGAATTCTGCTTCAAGAACGGACGCGTCGCACATTCCATCAATGTGTGTTAGACTTTGCGACATTTTATCTCTTGACGCTCAGGTTTAGCTTTGGAAAATCGATAATTTAGGATCGGAGGACATAGTTTTTATCCTGTGAGGTGGCGAGTGTAGGATTATTTCTACTATTCTGTCCTCAGGCGCTTGAAATTGTGTAATCAAAATATCTTCAAGAAGCCATGTCAGGATATTGCGGAATGTCTTTACCGGCGCCAAGTATTCCAACACCTCGAGGCTTAGAAGCAATCTACTCCACTCTAAGACAAATCTATCCTGATCAACCAAATCCACTACAAGTTACTGCCCTGATAAAATACTGGTGAGTCCATGAAGACAAAATAAAATACGGTAAAGATGTAGACATGGGATACTCTAAATTTCCACCATTCTGTAAATATCTTCACCAGTGTGAATCTGCAGTAAATCTCTACATTTTTTTCTTCGCCTTAAAACTAGCCTTCCCAATCCGTTATAGTCGCAGAGCCGAATTAAAGCGAGACCTTTCAAACTGAACCAAGGGGGTTTCTGCGGCTCATTCCTTGCACCTCGAGTCTTGATAGGCACACTAAAATGTTTCCCAGGAGCCGAATTTAAAACTGAATTTTCTTCAGCCTCTTTTTCAAAGCGAATCCTGGGGCTCATCCTTTCATATGATATTAAGTTTTCATTCACACACAAATTTAACTCATTTTCACAAGAATGCTTGAGCACCAGGCCTCATCTTGAAGAAGAGGCCAACAGTAATTCAGAAATGGCCTATTGCAAGGCGTGGGTGACACAACCGGCAGCCCCTGACGAGGGGGATGGATGGGGGTCACTCTCCTTATAAGACTAAAGTAAGTTACTGTTGCCATTCTTTGCAGGCTTGGTGGTCCTGATCCCCTGGATTTCATCAGCATGTTTAACAATCCTGGTAGCCCAATGGAGGGGATTCCCTCACACTGGCACTATATCTCAGCCGGGCTATCTGATCTCCATGGTGATGGACGTGTTCATGAGTATGTGAGACTAATTTTTCTTCTGGGTCATTTCACATGGTAGAAGTAATTTCTTTTACTTCAAAATGAAATCTTTTCTAGAAATTCTTTATTGGCTATGCTTTAGCTCACTAAACCTACCCCATCTTCACTCACTCTTCATAAAAATAAGATGTGGTTTTCTTCTTAAGATGTCCCTTTTTCCTCAACATTTTCTATTGTTTCATTGGGAGTCCTGACATTATCAAAAAAGGACCTGAAAGGACTTCCTTTATGATTTCACTGCAGAGTCAAAAGGCGGGAGAGTCCAAGTGGGTTTGGTTTTGAGCTCACCTTTCGTCTGAAGAAGCAAGTTGGAGAGACATCACCACCCAGCTGGCCAGCAGAATTGCTCCAGTCACTTGCACGCTATGTGTTTCAGACAGGTAAAGACATAAACTTTTCTTGCAATTTCAAAGAAGTTAATTATGCATTGAGTTTAGAGGTAGGGTTTGTGTGTGTTTATCTTTCTGGCAACCCACTTTTGGGCACCTTTAGAGGTAAATTATTACTTGTTCATGACAAAAGGAAGAGAAGGTGACATGCACCTGAGAAGCGTCCCATCCTTAGCCTTTGTTTAATGTACTATATTTGTTTGATTTAATAATTTCTTTTGTCAGACAATATGCTAGTGAGTGGAGACCATGTTTCCTGGCATCTCCCATTAGACCAGACACCCTCTGCCGCTGGACAATATAACTGTAACCCATCCCATATACAACACATGTTGATGGTAGATGACCCTCGGATACCAGTTATTTCAGGTCCCTTGGGATCAGTTCGTTTCATTCAGGTAACTCAACCATTTAATGAAATAATTGTGAGGTCAAGAAACTCTTGATTATTAAGCTTCTTCTTATAAGAATCATAAGGAATGTTTAAAGAAAAGTTTGGAGAAATTGCCGACTGATGTCAAGATGTAATTTATAATTTAATGAGTAATTAAATTTGTCTGTTTCTCAGTCATTTTTGAATGGATTGTAGTTCTTACTGTCTCTGACACTTGCCAAGAACAGGTAGTTGGAATTTGCACAGAGGAACTGCAAGCTGCTCAACATTGGAATGGCATTGCTGTGTTGGATCTTTTGAAACAAGTACCTCCGTAAGTTTGCCAGTAGTTAAACACTCCTCAAGTAATGTTTCAACCACAGTTTATGGTCTTGACAGCAGCAACGTTTGTGCGAGGGAAGTGTCCATTGTATAATGTTGGCCATTGGCCCATGGGGGGAGGGGTAAATTCCTAGTAATAATGAGAAAGGGTTCTTAAAGGCCAGTGGCCATACCTAGCAAAAATTTACTCAACCACCTCTCTCTCCTTGGTCATTGCCACTGAAAAGAGATGTATTATAACAGTTATTTAATAAATAGTTGTTAAAAGTAAAGTTTTGTTCAGTAAAGTACTGAAAAGTAAATTACTTAGGCCCGGTTCAAATGTCGAATTTGACAGGTGCAGAATTTAATGCAAGAGTTATGTGCATATCAAGTGCGACTTTTGAATCAATTAAATTCGACTGATTTAAATTAAATGCGACTTTTGCCGTATCTGCAACTGAAAGAGTCGAAGATTCGACTTAGGTTCGACTGTTAATTCAAACATCGCATCTCACATGTGATGAACTTAATGCATGAATTATAGGAAATTATTATGGTTCATTTATTACACACAACTCACCAGGAATTCTGTTAATGCCATATGTAAAAAAGTCAAAACAGCACAAAAAAATAGTGGGAGACGAAGGAATTCGAAGTTCTTGTTTGCAAAGACAATTTATAGTTGTTTGACGTGCTGTAATTACTTTTGTATGAGGTGTTCGGTTTTTAAAAATAAAGAGGGCACTCCTGGGTGGAAAGTTGGAAAATCTGTGGCATATTGGGAGTCGTGTTTCAATGAAATGATGGAACGTGAATCGAGTCAGGGTATCATGACGAAAAGCCAAGATGATGAAGCAAAAACAAAGAGAAAAACAAATTAAAGCATCAGTTAAGTAATTAAGCAAATGCTCAATAGATATCTTCATCACGGTCTAGAAATTAAGTAGCGTGCCAGGGAATATTGACAGCAAACAGAGTTAAATTCAACGTTTGAATCAAATGCTGTATTTAACTATTTTAGTCGACTTAACGTCCCCTAATCTTTCTGGTATGTTCACTCTTTCCCACTAAATACGCAATCATAATACCCGATCTTCATCTGCCGGTAACTATTACATAAAGTATTCTATGCTAAATCAACATAAAAACTCATTCTTAAGGATTGGTTGTAAAATTTGGAATAGCATCCCAGGAAACTTAAGGAATCTTCCAAAACATATTTTCAAGAAAAAGATAACAAAAATATTATTTCAAAATCTTCAAGTTCAGGATAGTTATGTTGACGTAGAACGAATAATCAATGATGTGTCGAAAGTTAAATCATAACTTATGTATTCTTCTATTTATTGTCATGTGTTTCTGTTTCTGTATTTGTATCTCATACTGTCATTTGTGCTTTACTGATTTAATATTTAATTTCTGTTTCTTGTATATTTATTCAATCTTTTGTTAAGCCGAATTTTATTTCAGATGTTTTAGTGTGCACACACTACCTGCCGAGACTAGCTCTGCTATTTGTGGGTAGTGCGTCATTATGCTAAGTGTCATGTCATGTCTGATTACAATAAAATACAAAAATACAAAAAATACCACACAAGCAAAAAAAAAAAAGGAGTTAAGTTTGGCACATAAGAAATTTGACATTTGAACTGGACCTTAATATTGAAATAAGTCTTTCAATTTCCTTTCCTTTTTTCAGAGCTGGTGGACCTTGGCTTGTGACTGACATGGACAGGATAGAATCAATTTTTGTAATTAAACCCTCCTTGCAGGTAAATTTTAGTTGTCTTTGATTTATCACGTCATGCAAGAGAACTGGAAAAAAATTCAGATGAAGTCATGTTGGAATTCAATACAATATCTCCTAAGCTACCAAATGGATGCCCCTCTGTAAAATTAAATAATTTGCATTTCTGATACTGCATTTATTCAGGGACAGGGTTTATTTCAAAGTCATATTTCCCATATCATTGTTAAATTCCCAGAATATAATGTGAAATATGAAACTTGTTTAAAGCTCTGATGGCTGGTATTTTAATATTAATTTCCCATGATCTTGCAGATTACCAAAGTCCATCGTAACATAACTTTATTTTGGTCCAATACTTGAAAGAACATTGCATTTTTCTGATTCAGTTAGAGATAGATATGTAATTATAACTCCATCTGTGCTGTGCAGTCCAGGGCAGCATTTATGCAAGGGCAGCACATAACCAAGTAAATGAAGAATTTTTGGACTGTTTTATCTGAAGCATTAAACCTCATTGTTGCCGTATTGAAAAAAAAACTATTTGAAATGCATGGCAAAGTGTGTTAGAATGGGGGAAACAAAACCTTCAATATTTATCAAAGGCTCTCTAATGATATTTCCTTGACATAACATAGTTTTTAGAGTCATCAGCTGTTGAATGCACAACAACTATTACCATAAGTTAACATGACTTTCCAATGTCATTTTTATTTAAAGGAAACAGTCACAAATGGAATTGAGAAAGAGGGTTCCAATCTAAGTGGTGTCAGTGCTAAATGCTGGTGGGAGGAAAGCTTTGTAAACAATTCTACCAGCCAGCAAGCAAGTTTTCCTTATGGATCATCACATGATACCCAGACTGGGAAGGATTTGACCACACGTTTCCCTGTCTTACCACCAATACGCACTGGGTCTTCCTTTACATCAAACAGGGCCACAGATGGTGTGACAACTGAAGGACGCTCTGCTTGTAGTAGTGTCGTCAGTGAAATTTCTCGTACACGAACTCTGCGAGGTATTCATCTTCGGTTTGGTTTGGAGGCCGCCATGCTGTTACCACTAGCTCTGAGGTATTCCTAAAAAGAGCTGTAATTTTATGTTCTCCATAGTGATGAATTTTTAATTTTTTCCAGTAAATTAAACTTATGCTTTGTATTTGCCATATTCTGTATGTAAACTCCATTTTTAAGACAAAACAAGATGATGCTGATAATGATGATGATGGGGTTGCTAGAAATGAGGATTGCAATGTGTTTGTTAATCAGGGGTCGGCTCAATCATGGACGACACTTCACATTCCATAGTTCAGTGAATGACATGGCTGTCACATTTCTTAGTTCTAATGTAACTGGGTCCATTGCTGATAATGAGCACAGGTTTGCTGCATGCGGAACTTGGCTTCAGGTACATAGAGCAAAATCATATGTATGTTTAAAATCTAAGGTCATTCCCATAAGAGTTTTCTTCTTCCATCACCTTCCCTTTCATCAGAATGGGTCTGTCAGTTGTGACAAATAAAGATAGGGGGAGGATAGAAAAAAAGAATTACTGTGGGAGCTAGCTGAGTTAAAGACAAGCCTGCGAGTGGATGTTATCTCTTTTCATCCCGACATCAGCACGTAGATTCTCCACACTGTTTTCTATACTTTCCTTGGGAGACCAACAAGAATTTAACAATCAATAGCTTCTTTAAATGGCGATCATTTTCTTTATTCTTGTGACCCTGGTGTTTGATTCAACCAAGACGTTGTGAACAAAAATTGTATAGTTGTCACACTTAGGTATGGGTGAAAAGGTTGAGAAAGGAAGCCTGTATACCCATGACTCCTTGGTTGCCACTTGGTATCTGCTGTCCCAACTGATTTGTTTCCAAAAACAATGTAATAGGCCATTTTACAGTTGTGTACTTAGGTGCCAAGCCTTTGATTCAGAGTGAGGATAAAGATGACCTTGTTGTGATAGAGACCTGTATCTAGTTAGCATGATAACAAAATGATTTACATTTGAAAGGCAGCAAGGTCATCTCTAGCCTCACTCCCATTCAAAGGCTTGGCAACCAAGCACACAACTGTAAAATGGACTATTGTCCAGCCAGGTTAGAAAATGAGGTTTAGATAATTTCTAATCAAGTCTGTATTTCTTGTCAGTGTATTCTTCTTCTACTATGTTTATCAGGTTCTGATAACTGAGGACTTCCTACAAACACTTGACAGAGACCTGGATGTTTTGACAAGGCCCAACGAGGTATTCCAATTTCAAATTATTGAGAGCTGTTTTTTTCGATTGGTTAATTGAAAAGTGTTGTCTTTAAAGGATACTGGTATATTTTACGAGGACTAAGGCTGTCAAATTTTTTCAGCTTGTCCTTCCAAGAGAATATCGCTGGCCAAGATATGGAATGATCATTTCTGTCCTTCCAGATAGTAACTAGCCAGAAAGCCATCAAAACACCTTGGAACAGGTGGTTAACTCTGACATTGTTTGACTGAGCTGAGAAAAGCTGCCAGAGGAACCTCACTCCTCTTGGGCCTGGACACGAGTGGACAATGCTGATACACAGTGTTTTTCCCCATGAGATGCTGCTGACTTAAAATTGTCTGTTAGTTTTTTGTCAATTTTTTTCTTTTTAATTTCTCTTTGCGATAGGAAAATACCACACACACAAACAAAACAACAGAAAATGCTACATACACAAACCAAAAACAGCCTAATATCCAGAACCCTTAGCTAGGCCCATTGTGTACAGCATAATATACAGAAAAATGAACATTCTCCCCAAATATGAAAATTCTTTCTGACAAAGGTTAAGAAGAATATAAATTGTGGTATAATAGTAATGAGGAAAGGTGTAGAAAAATCGAAAATGTACGATCACCAACCTTTTGATGAAATCCTTCATGCAGTCTTGCAGAGTTGTTTGAAATATTTTTAAAATCAGGGCATTCCCACAGAGTGATGATGGGGCCATCAAACTTCCTGAATGCTACCATGTTTGTAAATTGACATGTTTTTACTAACTTAATTATGATACCTGAAGAGGCACTTGTTTGTGTGATGACTTTTAAAATACCGAGAGCCTATCAGTCTGAAGTAAGAGCATATAAGCAAAGGAGTGCCACCTTGTCTTTAAACCTTTCACTGAGTATTTTCACGAGTTGTGCAGTACTTTGAAGAGCCCACAAGGCCAGACAAATACAAAGAGTTTTACAAGCATTATGAAATTTTCCTTCATTCTTCCTCTGTGAATTACAATTTAAGGTTCAAAGGCTCCAAGACAACAAATAAACAAAAAATGAAGATACATTTCAGTGTAAAAGAGCTGAATTTTATTCAAAATTATTTACTACACAAATCTTCATCTTTAACCACCTTAACAGAGAGAAACTGGCAAACACTGTGAGACCGAGTTTGACTCTTGCTCATATATTTGTAACCATACAAAGCTCTTATTTCATGCCATAATATAAATGATTAAGATACCTTGTACCAGTGAAATGGCAAGACTGGTAGAGGCTCTTGCTGCCCAGAGGAGGTTACAAAGCTCAGCAGAGAAAGTCTATAGTCCTATCTTACTCCACTGCAATAAGCTGTGCCTCCTTAACAACAAGAAATGGCTGAACACTGAAACTGCAAATTCTTCCCTGAACAGCAGCCACCCCAAAATTCAAACATTTTAACAATACAGTAACTGTCTTTTACAATAAAAATATCTGTCGTGTCATGACAAACACATGGATATACTTTCCATGTAAAAAACATTGGCATAAGATTTGCAGCTCCCTTATGTATGATTAATTTGAATTAATCTACTGGTGCATGGTTAAATTTCCTTTTACGTTTTATACTCTTACTAAACTACTTCATTCCATAAACTGAAGGCATTGTTAATAGTTTTAATATGCAGCACATGATCAGTAATAAACTGCACTACCAGTATGCAGAATTGTTTGGTGAGGCAGGAAGTGGCATAACACTGAAGCCAACGTTCCTCTCCTCTACTTTCTTTTCTACATTTTAAAACTACAACAAGGCAATAGAATGAAGAACTGGCGTGTCACCCTACAGACAAACTCCCATCCTTTTACCTTGAATTCAACTTTCATCTACATTGAAAAGCCACAACAGTATGAGGAACTGGCTTGAAACCATTGTATCTGATTACCCTTTCAAGGATGGTTTTATAACTTTCCATAATGCTGTGGTTTCCCCAACATCTGCATATTCAATCTTCGTCAATAAGTTGATTAAGGCATTCCATGGAAGACACAATTTATGCAATTAATGACAACTACCTCTTCACATCTACAGGTGAATGAATCTTTTGTTAGGATTTCTCCATTTCCCATTCTTTTAAGCCACAGTGAGTTCATAATCAGTAGTCTCTTTCTCAGTCAGGTGCAAGAAATGTTTGAAAAACTCATAAACTGACCAGCAAATAGCACATGACGGCATTTGATAAAGCACTCTAGCTTGAACTCCTTGGAAATACCCAGAGAAGCCACGAAGTCTGTAAATAGAGCGGAAAGCCATAACCATTCCATCTAGGTAAGCATGTCCTTCTTGTTTACCAACTAAACAAACAGCTTCCCTCTCCTGGGTGTTAAGTAATGTCTTTGCTACATCCAGTGGTGTGGTTACGGCAGCTGCAACAGCTCCTGCAGTTGCCCCTGCTATCACATGAGTCTTTGGGTCATAACCACGCGATGGGTTTAGTGTCTCTCGTGCATATTCATACACAGTAAAGTGTAAACTTTGGAAAGGTATGTTCATTGAAAGCTGAGTTGTGTAACTGCGATAGAAGGCTCTGAACCCTTCCTCATGAAGTACAGTCCTTATACAATGAAGAACACTACGATATGGACTCCCATACATCTGCATCCTTTGCTTGATCACTGATTTGACAGCACAAAAGGAAAGAAATGCAGTGTTAGTAACTAGACACTTTATAGCAACACTGTTCATACATTGTAGTCTTGTGTATTTAGAAAGACAAACGTTACATGACAAAGCCAACAGATAACTTTATGATTACGTGCAGGATCTGCTCAGAAGCAGAGAGGCTGTCCAGAATATTTCTCGGCTAAATATTGGTTATCAAAGAGAGTGATGGATTATCCACTGGGGGGGGGCCTACCAGCTTAACCTTAGAATAGAGTTGGAGATCTGTTAACCAGAGTCATCAACATTCAAATTTAACCATCTTCTTAAGTTACATATTAGATGACTTGACTGCAGGGTTCTACAGGCAATTTTCAATGACTTTAAATATGAATGTTGAAAAAGGTATTAAAGGGCAGTGAAGGATAAAAGCAAGATTAATTAAAAGAATGAGTGTCTTGATACACCTTCTACAGGATTCATGGCACCATCATGAAATACTGTTGCACAAATTCCAGCAAGACCTGCAGGGAAAATAATTATTAAAACTGCCAGTTAGTATCTTCTGACAGACAGTTTTTCTCCTATATAGAATATTTCCCATTTCCCCAGTCAAAATTTGTGGTTTTTTGTTTTTTTACAATTTGAATTCACATTCATTTGAGGTAACAAGAATTTCCCAATGCCTTAAAACAATGAAAAAGAAAATTATAAACAGAAACTTGATTATACTTCACAAAGAGAGACATTCATCTTTTGTAGTTAAAGTATTTAATCAGTTGGTATTGAGGGCAGTGGATGGACTTGCATTTTGCTGCAGAACTGGGAGAGTAAAGGTAAAGCAATAATGACTAAAATTTTCTAACAACTGAGCAGTCCCTCCTGAAATTTTACCTGAGAAAAAGACACAATAATGGGCAACAGATTTGGAAGTTAGGATACTATGGATAATTTTTAATGAACATGCTTAACTACATGTCATCAAACCATATCTGGAATGTCTTCTCAGATATCATCTGGTGTTGCTGCAACTTAAAAAAAAGAACAAGTGTTCTGCAAAACACCTACAGCCAGCCACTTGCCAGCACTGGAGTAATTTATGTGGAGTAAATGTCTCTTTCAGATTGTCTCACTTGAATCAACAAGTACAATGATCAAGAAGGGGAGATTTATTATTTATATTAGACATTGTATGTGTGTGTGTAAATGGATCAAATAATGTACAAGTTGTTTTGAAAAGTGTGTGTGTAAATGGATCAAATAACATGCAAGTTGTCTTGAAAAGCCCTCCTAATTTTGAGTAAAAAATCCGAAGTATTGCCTTGTTTGACATTTTGAAAAGCTCAAATTATATACCACATAACTAATCGAAAACATCTAATTTAATTTAATTTAGTTTAATTTAATTTAGTCCATTTTCACTGCATTAAGTTTTGCAGTGGGGAAGGACTAGAAAGGAACATAGGAACCATTCGTGCTGCATCTAAGATTGATAATTCATTAACTTTTCAAGGGATCATCTTGCAAAGAATTCATTTCCTTCCAATAACATTGACGAAACATTCTTTTCTCTTTCCTTCTCTTCTCTTTTACTAGCTGGTTAAGTTTCTGTCAACTCTTATGACATCTGTTACATCAAAATGCTCAACACAGATACCTACCATGTGAAACAGGATTGTATGTGTCTTGGTTCCCATTCAAGAACTTCTTAGTTGCCTCGTAAGTACTGAAATAGAATGCATGCGCAGGACCAGCTCCTATTGCTACCACATTCATTCCCCTAAGAGGGGTAAAAAGTCCTTCTTTTTTAACCATCGTTGTGAGAGCATCCCCAATGCTTTTATAGACAGCATTTGGATGTGGACGCAAACTCTGCATCCTTGTCTATAATTAAGAAAGACGCATATTTTTTTTTCCATAAAACTTTAACTACTTGACCATACAAAGCGATCCACATTTTCATGATTCCTCAGGAAAGACAGGATAGGTAGTATGAAACAATGATTTCAAAAATTCCAAACACAAAACCAGTTGCAAAAACTACTTTTAAATTATCTTTTAACAGTTTTCTACCACTCCAAGCCTGATGGGCAAAAGCTTCCCACTGATGCAAATTTCTGACTTTTTTTAATCTAACTTCCAAAATCTATGAAAACTTGGAATACAAGGTATACTGGATATTATTATCACCTTGTCCCACTTAAATGCATTTCAGCCCACTCACAAGATTGTTCAGACTGTTTTGTCATAATTTTGTTTTTTTTTTCTTTTTTTTTTTGGTTTTTAGTTTCTTGGCATCTCACAAGTGATAATAATTGAAACAAAGTCTACATTCTCCAGCATAAATATATTTTGGGCCCTTCTCAGAGTCCAGTTAACCCTTGCCTATTAGCTTTGGTTAAAATAACTCCAAATCCCTCCTAAAACACAGTGATGTCCCCCCACAACATTAACTCTTTTGTTTTATAATTATTATCACTTTGTTAACACATTCAGTTATCTGCAATACAAACAAGCACATTTCTGTATGGATGAGGTAGTTTTAAGGTGTGCTCTATCATAATGAAAGCGTCACATTCTTTTAGTTCCCATTTCTTTAATTCCGTGTTCAGACAAGTCACACAACATCACTGCTAGTCTCAAAAACAATTATTTCATCTGGAATCTTGCAGAGATGACGATCATTTCCTTTCAACACCGAAGCTGGCTAATTTGTTTGATTAAGGAGAGATTGTCCCCTGTGCATACAAAGTCACTTCGATTTCGATCTCAAAGAACAACTTTCTGATATTGAACATTCCGAATATCTTGAGATGACGATGACCTGAACGACGTAATCGATAATTGCAAAGCCTTTAATTATCCGCGGGAGTATTTCTGTTTAAAACTAGAACTGTTGATCCAATATCATCCACAGTGACGGTGTCAAAAAATGAATTTTCAAGATTTTTTGCCGAAAGTTTAAAGTGAACTAGGACTCATATGCTATGCCAACAGTTTACAGATGCAAAACTAAAATTTGGCGAAAAAATTCTACCCACCCAAAGTGATATGACCTAACGATGAATTTCACTGGGCCACGCGTACCGATCGACACCAGCCTAAATGTTTGAAGATAGACAGGCGATACATTTCCCGCACTCAGACAAAGGGAGAAAGAGAGAAAACCCATGATTAACCGATGTGAATAATATGATTAGACTACGTTTTAGAGTTCTCAAAGGAGACTAAGAACTCGTACATCGATCGTACCTTAACGCAGTCCACAGGGTACATTACACAATGTTCCATGACTCCTGCCATAGCACCCGCGGCAAGATGTACCGTCACCTTCTCCGTTGGCAGGCTTTCATACTCTGAATCGTCCATAACGCAGGGAAAACTAATAATCTCCAGCCTTAAAGTTGCAAATAATCCCACAAATTAGTTGTTTGTCTCCGACTTTCGTTCTATCTTTCGCTCAATTAAAATCCACCCGCCATGTTGAACAGCGCTGGCTTACTCACGTGTCACGTGAGTAACATCATCCACTTAAAAAGGAGATCCCAAAAAATAGCCAATCAAATTGCTCAATATACCGAGACATGACAATCGAAAAACTAAATGGCATTGGATGGAAGCCACACGAGCGGCGGGACTTTACTGCAAAACAACCGTAGAAGCTAAATGAGAAGATTCCCAAATACAACTGCTTCTTTCCTCCAACAACAAAATCCACAATGACTATGCAGCCTTTTCACTTTCGTCTTATCGTCTCAAAAATATTTGTTACCATCACACCTTGCTAGCATGATCAAAATCCGGTGTTCATACACGTAGTGATTACGTAATCGTGCCTGTGTATGTGTTGCAGGTAATTTTTTTTAAGGTAAATTTAATTTTTCACCAGGTACAATTTTTTAACTTGGGTGGTTTTAAAAACTGGTAAAAATTCTTCTCTTAAAGTGGTCTCTTTAGATTGTGAATAAAACACTCTTTATCTTACGGTTTGGTGGACTTATTAGTGAGCATTCGCTAGGGATGCTTGCTCGAAATCGAATGCGGAACTGTGTTTAACAGTGCGTAACTGGAAGACAACATCATAATGCCTTTGTGGTAAAACTTATCTATTTGGAGACAAACGAATGGCACCTATTTTCCACATTTTAATAGGATCGGTTGTAAGTATCGATTTGGAACCATACGTTTATAGGTGACTTTTAACGGACTTGGAATTATAGGAGTGTTCATAACACCTGCGAACAATATTTGCATTTATGAAAAAGGTTTGTAAGGTGACTGAAAAATTATCCTAACTCATATTTACAAGTAAGAAGGAAAAAACACAATCATTGCGGAATTGGATCACGAACTGCGGTTTTGCCGTGAGAAACTTGGAATTTTTAGAAACTTCAACCAAGTCTGAGCTGTGAGTAACAGGAAAACAAACAAAACAATTCCATCAAGTGACGAACACAATTGACGCAAGTTCACTTGTTACTGCAAATTACGTAAATGGCTGTTCCTGAATAAATTTGACACCCGGTTAAATATCCCATATGTTTAGAATTGGCTGAGCGCTGGAGTATTTTGCTTTCTCGATCTTTTTAAAAAGTATAATCCTTTGAGGCTGCTTGATAACGTAACCTCCTGTTTTTGAATAACGGAACTGTTCCAAAATTAGACTTGCATGAAAAGCGATGTTTCTATTTAAAGAAAAAAAAAAACATTTTTGTCTCATGCCCAGAGAACCAAGAAATTGATGTTCGACATCTCAAAAACAGCAACATGATTATTAGCATTAAAATCTTCTAATCTTGTGCAAAATATAATGAGAAAAAACGCCTGGACGTAGAAAATAAAAGTTAAGAAAGGGAAGTATACGGTCAAGAGAAAAAGACAGCGCTGACTTTTCAAGTAATTTATTAACCTTATCCCAACTGAATACTAAACTTTAAATTGAGTACCATAAAACTCGAGAAATGGTTGTATTAAAATCAAACATATATCGTGTCCACAAATGATAAAAGGCCAGTCAGTGAACCGAAAACAAAAATGGCGATTGGTGAAAAGAAGGAGAAGAGTCACGTAAATGAAATAACGAACGTGCATGATTGGCTGTTGAAACTGCATCTTTACTCTGATTGGCTGGATTGAAGGAAATGGAATTTGCAACAAGTTATCCATTGTTGATTTCAAGTTTCCCAAGGTTCTAAGTCCTCTGAATCTTCTGTTTCTTTTTAAGCTTTACCATCTGTACCAGTTCCTTCCATTACTTCTTTAAGATAGCTTTCAACTTCCTGTAACGGAGTTGATTAGAACGGGCGAGACAAAAGCATTGATGTCAGACTTAATATGAGCAGAGAGTAGAGTTCTAAAGTGACGAGCAAGGCAGTTTGTGCCACCGTAACTGTAATATTATGTGAGCTTACTTTCCATAATATAGACACACCTTTTTGCCAAACGTCTCCGAAAAATCAACAGCTCTGTGACCAAACTATAAAAAAACAAAAAAAAAAAGGGAAACATAAAATGTAAAAGAAAAAATTATAGTACTGAGGGAAAAAAGAGAAAAATTGAAATTAATGATATATGCCACATTTTAGCCATAGCTGGTTAAAATCAACATAGTAAATGAAGAGAAAAACGTATTCATATTTCCTTGCACTTCCACAATCTCTTCCCCAACTAGATAAAAAGGACATACAAACCTCATTTTCAGCATATACATCTGCCCCTTTTTCCACCAGTACCTTAATCAAATCAATTTTACCATTTGTTGCAGCAGCCTAAACAAACGTAACAAATAATAAAGAATTCAAATCAATGTTTGAAAGTAGTTAATATGATATGGAAAATCTACGCCAAGCTGTCAAAAAATATCAATACCATCAAAGCAGATTTCTTCATTTTGTCTTTTTTGTTCACATCTGCCCCATTGTCAATCAAAATCTTGGCCACCTCAACATTTCCATTCATACAGGCTACAAAAGAAATTACAGAATTTTCAACAGGTTAAAGTTTAGTCTTCCATAGCTTGGAGCTAACTTAATCGGATTAGTATGATTTTCAATTCTGGATTTGTATAACCCATATGAAAACCATGAATAATTAAGAAAATTTGCTGGGACATTTCACCAAAAACATGGTGAGACAGTTTAAAATGTCTTCCCTCCTTTTCATATTTGATAAGATTCCAAATCTACATCTTTCCAGTTCAAAGTTGTGCATCAGCATAGCAAGACTTGGTGACTAAGAATATGACATTGACCAGTTACACCCTAGGTTGGTATAATCATATTCTCCATACTGTTCTCTTTACATTTTCTTTGCTACTGACAAGGAGAATGTAATTGGCGATCAGGAGCTTCCTAAACTGGTGATCATTTCCCTTATTCTCATGACATTAATAATTGATTCAAGGGTGATGATAATAGAGAAATTGAAGACTTGGGTGGAAGTCATGCGTCTAACTTCGATATCTATAATTATTATATGGCTGCGTCTCACAAGGACTGGGAACGACCCAATTCACGAATTTGATTGGCAGAAATCAATATTGAAAGCGGTCTAGATTTTCCCATCTAGACTGGCATCTAGACCAGTTTAGAAAAAAAAGGTACAAAGAATGCCAAAAATTGGCATATAAGACACAGCCATATAACAAACATCTTATTAACCGAGAGAGGCCGGTCTGTATGGGAGAATCTTGACCTCGGTCACTAGTTTAGACCTCACTGCGTTCGGTCTGTACTGGCGACCTCGGTCAAGATTCTCACATACAGACCTCCCGCTCGGTTAATAAATAATAATGACTCAACCCCTTTCACTGCTGATGGGAGAAATATTAGTAATAAGAACATACCAAATTAAAAATTTGCATTGGAAAATAAAAGCTACAATTTTTTTTTCACAACTCCGTACCAAGTCTTATCAATGGCGAACAACCAAAATCATCTTCAATATCAACCTGTTGAGAACATTGCAAACAATGAATTATCCTCCAATGCTTCCACTGATAAATTAATCCTGACAAGTTTATGTATCATTGATAACAGATTGTGGAGTTGCACCATAGAGAAGTGTGGAGGAAGCACTACTTAAAAGAAAGGTTGTTGAAACTTCAGGGTAGGCGACAAAACACTGTTGTTGTTGGACAAACAATACACTTATTTTGCAGGGCCTCATTTACAATGTGAAGAACTGCTATAACTTTTTTTGCCTCTTAATCAGCCAAGGTGCAAGGTGAGCAAATAAGGTGAGTCATGCTCTGGAAGAGTGGGAGATACACAGGATATAAAAGTAAAAAAAATGTAATTTTTTAGCTCTGCCTCTCTCACATGACTCATCCTTGGGCTCAACTTACACTTCCCTTCATCAACTGAAAAGCACAAGTGTCCCCTGATCTGCAGGAAAAACTACAGCTGGATGGGATACAAAGCATTTACTGTTGGTAATGAATTGATGATGCAATCTGACATCAATCAAACATTATTATTTTTTTTTATACAGGAATGGTCATACATGGATTCCATTGTCCAACAGCCATTGTATGCAGCCTGTGTTACCACCTTCTACTGCCCAGTGAAGACAACAAGAGCCACCATTGTCTTTATTATCTAGTGATGCTCCTTTTTCAAACAGCTTAGCAGCTACATTGATGTGACCACCAGCACAGGCCAACATCATACTATAATATTCAAAAATAGTCACTGCAGTAAATACAAATGAATTTTAATTTATAATCGAAAGTAACTTGCAAAATATAGTTTATATAGCATAAAAAAAAATTATATCATGTACATATATATCAAGCTGTTTCCATTACTGGATCAGATCTGCCACTAGCTGTTGAGTTAATTAGTTATCAAATCACCTGTTTTTTCCACTTGTGTTGGAGTAGTTGACATCAGCTTTGTGTTCAATCAAAGTTGAAACAATGCTGAAGAAAAAAAATATTAATAAAATATTGAGTGCACCTTCTAACACATGTATCTGGCAAAAATGAATAAAGGAGGTAGGTTTCCATAGAAACTATGGTGCTACATTGGTGGGGGTACAATATGATATTTTGGTTTTTTATCAACTGAGTTCAACTCGTTAATACAAATTGGCCACAGTAAAGAGTTGAATCCAAAGCTGATGTTTTGGGCATTAATTAGCCCTTTGTCAGAGTAAAATGTTCCAACAAAGGGCTGATGCTAGAACCAAACTATATATGAAAAAGACTGATTAGGTTCTCTTCCAAAATAAAGCAGTTTCTAGTAGAATTTTAGTAGTCATTTCTGGAAAATGGGAGACATGGTGCCCTACTGGTCAGTGAATTGGACTGAGGGTCCAGAAGTCCAAGTTTGAATTTAGCCTCAACCAATTCAATGTGTTATGCTCTTGGGTTACAACACTTTACTCTCACATTGACTCTCTCCATTCAGGAGTACAAATGGGTACCAGCAAATTGTCAGAGAAGCCAGGTGAAATGCTGAGGGGTAACCTTGAGATACACTGGCATCCCATCCATAGGAGAGTAGTGGACAGGTCCTCCTACTTGCTTCATGCCTTGAGGAAATCAGGATATGCCCCTTCCAGGTGAACCACTTGGCTCAACTATAGACTTTGCCTTACTTTTCACAGAATATGCTTTGGCTCCCATGCAAACATTTTCTCAATAACTCACCATAGTATCTGATCACCTCCTAATGAACACTAACCTTGTGTAACCCTTTTGAGCAGCAATCATCAGAGGGGACATTCCATATGCATTAGGACAATCAACTATGGTTTCAGTACTAATTAAATTCAAGAATAAATAGAGTAAACTCAAATTTACTGCTCCTGATGTTAGAAAATTGTGCAATTCTTTAATAAATGCCATCATGAACTACTTTAAAAGTTAATCACAGAGTCTACCAACCTTTCTTCAAGAATTGATATGACTTTTTCAACTTCCCAGTTAAGGACTGCTCTATGAAGGTCATGACCGGAAAATGGAATTTCTGCACAAAACAAAAGAGTTTACCACTCATCACTCCAGTACATGATTTTCCTCTTTTTTTGGCCGTCCAGATTGCAATTAATCAATAACAATAATAATAATAGTAATAATAATGAAAGATTTATACCGCGCCAGTATCCTACTGTTCAAAGGCGCCTACAAAAACTTTAACATTAACACTTAAGAAAGCTAAAATTAATTATAAAAGGCTTTACTAAAAAGAAAAGTTTTTAATCTACTTTTAAAAACAGACACAGACTGAGCATTTCTAATTTCACTTGGCAAAGCATTCCATAATGATGGAGCTGCTTACTAAGAACTAAGAACTAAGTAATAAAGCAGTTATCATTATTATCTTCGAAAAAATTGTCAACATCATGTAATTATGCCTGCCAAGTTTTCACTAAAGACATGGTCACAGTCATTTATTAAGTGCTTACAACCTTGTAAAAATTCTTAATGCTCTTAAATTCTCCTCCTGTCTAAATGCTATGTATTGTCGATGAATTTCGAAAGAAAAACACTGCTGCAATCACATGCAGTTACACTGTGTTTCAAGAATTATTAAAAAAGCATCATAAAATAAATGCTATCTTCTGTCAATAGATCAAAAGTTACATATCAACTAGTATTGTCCTTAATGCCGACTAACCCGAGTGCAATAAGACATGACTTTGTTACTTACTTGTAGTAGTAACAGATATCACCTGACTCCATGGGCTGTGCCCATTATCATTACTTATTCGAAGGCGATAGCGATAAGTCTTGTTTTGCTCCAGGCCTCTGAACTCATTGCTTTTGGCAAAGCCACTGAGGGACCATAAAAATTTTCATTGAAGTCGTAAGAGTCTATTACTAACATAAAAAAATCTACATCTTTTGTAATTTTTATGTATTTTTTTAACCATTTTTTGTAAATAATATTGTATATGTTTTGTTTGATGGAATAAATAAACTATTAAAATAACAGAAATAAAAATCTATATCAGTAAATACTGCATAAAACTAATTCAACACAATCCACAAAGTGGTTACAGTCAAAGTTGCTCGATTGTTTGCAAACATGAGACAATTATCAATCAATTAAGGAGAGAGCACTTTTCAATTAAGTGCCTTAACATAATGGTCAATCAGAAGAAAGGAAAATACTTATAGAGCCTGTGAGAACTCAAACTAAAACTAATCAAACTGCCTAACGCACATAAAAATGCCAGCAACCAAGTAGTAATTGGTTTTGGTTTTGTATCTGCTTGGTTGAGAGGATGGCACCAGTTTCCTAGACCATTCCCAGAATAAAGTAAAGCAAGAACAAAGCAATCACAGCTTACTTTTGAAACTCGATTGAAAATTTTTCTATATACTGTCACATAGAAAAAAGTAAATGGCTCCATACTTGTAGACATTTCCAAATCCTTTCCTTGCCTCTTCTTCTTCTTCCTGTACACAGTAACGTAGCCTCCCTCCTGAGCTGTCTTCAGTGCCTGCTGCCTGATCCCAGTACAGCTCAATGCTGTTGGATGTAACCTTTCCAACCACAGGAGGAGCTGGCTTCTCAGGCGCTGTGTATGTACAGAAAAAATAAAAAAAGGAAATATTTCAAGTGGCAGAAACTTTGTCAGCTTGCCTTTACACCAGAAAACTGATTAAAACTAGACAAAAAAATCCATTGACAATCTCAAATTCAATTAGATGATTAAAAAGTATGTAATGGTTCAACTAATACTGAAACAAAACATAACATGTTTGAGAAATATCAAACTAAGGAAAACCAATAGCCACAAAGTACAATTTAAGAAAGTTAATTTTAATTCCTTATCCCGTGAGATCGAGGATATTAAACCACCCTTTCAAAGCGTTTCTTTTAAGGATGAGGCTAGTTGAACGATGAAACATCAATGATGCTAATGTAAGGAGGTTTTAACATGAAATGAGCCTTTTTTTCTACGGCTACGAGGAAGAACATTTTTTCCAGTCTAATGGGCTTTAAATTTCTAATCCTCATATGGGACTCTGGTTTTTGGTTCTGCATTCTGACAAATAAATTCATCAAGTCTTACCTGACATTGTTATGAGACCACATCAGCTGAGTTGTTTAAGGACTGCTTCGTCATTTGTAAACAATAAAAAAATCCAACAGAGTTATCTCCTTCTATCGACTTTTTAAGCGACTAACAAAACTTCGTTGTGTGAAAAACAAACACCTAGTCTTTTGCTGTTAGCAACCGTTAGTGCACGATCATTCCTGAAAATAAGCGCTGAAAGGGTTTCAACAAAATACAATGGTTACTTTGCTCTTAACCCTCTGAATTGCAAGTACTTATCTTTAAATACCTGTGAGATATCATATTAACTCCCCAAGGATTAAAAGGAAGTCATTTAGGAAGTCTTTCACGAAAATTAATCGTTATATGATATAACAAAATAATTCGGAGTTACACAAATAAAAAGGATTGGTGTAAAAAAAAAAAAGTGACTTAACAGCCTCTTGCCACAGTCAGAGGTTACCTTAACAAATCTGAGATAAAACATCCAAGACGATGTTTTGAACTTTAACCATGTCGGTCAGACGTTTGCAGGATTACCAGCAGTGACAAAAGACCCTTCTGTCCTTTTATAAGGCCACAGTTAGACGATATCTTTGCATAAAAGACTGGCATTATACAGCATAACCTTTCTAGCAGCTAGATGTTGATCCTTCTCGCTAGACGCGGGGCTTTAGAAATTCGCGCCATCACAAACAGTACAAAGCTATCCCTTCCAGGGTATGGAAAGGTAGTGACACTAACAACAATGAAGAGTACATCACCTCTTCTCGACTTTCCTAGATTTTATATTTTATCTTGGTACATTTTAAAAATTACTCTGGCTACTACATTCTAAATATAGATAATTTTAGGAAATTTGAAGTAATTTGTTATCACCCTCCTACCCATCCCTAAAGACAGTTTGAATTTTTACTGACCAGCGGTTACAAAGAAATATAGGTTATTTCGTGTACGAATCTATATAATTTATCGCAAATAAGAAACAGGAACCAAAATGGCGGAAATGAGAGGTGGTCCCAGAGTTTAATTAAGGATTACTGAGTCGAGATCTCACATCTTTTACAAAACCCGATCATTGTGCACTTTTTTTTATTCCTATGTAACTGGTTGCAAGGCAATTTTAACGACCATGAAGCTGTCGCCTCGAGTTTTGCCCGGTGCTCTTCACGGTCATAACAGAGGAGCTTGTGACTGGTGAGTCAGCTGGCCGGGTTTCCTTCAGTGTACAATTTGAACATATTGAACCCATTATTTTACAATGTACAGATCAAACATCGATCACAAGTAGTGACGTTCTTGGTAACTTTTGTATTTAAAAACTTTAAAGCCTTGAGCTGTGGTGGACGTATCTATGATGTAGAGAAAGAAGGGCAAGGACCCTGGTTATCTCTTGACTGTGATTGCTTCCTATCCCAATAGATTCATATAAAATCCTGCGCTAATTATGACGGTGTGATGTAAATATTAAACCGCAAGCAATTAAGTATAGATCCCTTTCAAATATTACACTAAAATTTTCCCTCGAATTTGCATATTATTTTGTTGGCTAATTCTAAGAAGATATCATTTCATCAGAAAAGTTGGAAAAGTTTGTTGTCATTTTTTTTTGTTTGCTTTTAAGGGGACGACAGTCACTTATAGCCTATGGTTGTCAGAACTTTGTGGTTGTCTTTGATCCCAAATCAGTTCAGGTGAGGATAATCAGTTTATCTTCTAATCATTTTTAGTTCCGATCTGTAGCTTGGAAAGAAATTTCTGTGTCTAAGTTTGTGCAAGATCATCTTCACTTTTTACTTTCTTGGCAGGTTATTCAAACGCTGACCCTGCACACTGCCCCTTGCACAAAGGTAGGTAAATTTCTATCTTAATAGCTTACATTTCTCCCGAGTGATTCCTCAAGAGATGTTTTCCTTGTTTTATTGAAATTGTTGTTATCTGTAAAAATGTTTCCACTTTTCCCTTGTTTAATTTTAGGTGAAATGGGCACGTGATAATTACCATCACGACAGCAACTCGCCATATATCCTACGTCTTGCCTCTGGAGATACATCTGGTAATGTCATTGTCTGGGACATTTCTCAAGGGACTGCAGTGACTGAGTTCTCAGATGGAAACAGACCAATTCTTGATCTAGAATGGCTTGGAACTCAAGATGCCTGTCATGATCTATTGGCAGTTCTCCATGCTCCATCATCAATGATCCTCTGGAATGCTGATACTGGTACAAAACTGTGGAAAAAGACCTTTCAAGAAGCTTTGCTTTGCTTTGCTTTTGATCCTTTCATACCTTCAAATGTCACCTGTAAGTTGGAATTTTAAGCTTATGAATGCATATCATACACAGGTCAGACTTCATGAACTGCAGTTGTCCAATAACAAGGCTGCATTGAGGTCACTTAAAACATTTTAGTGGTGCATCTGATGTAAATATGGCCTTTGTTAAAAGTGAATTGCCATCTTGCTTTCCTTGTGTGAAATCAGAAAGGTTTTCCTTGAAAAAGGTAGTACCAGGAGAGAAATGAAAAGTAATTGGAAAGTATTCTCAATGTTTGGATACAAAATAGGGCAATTAAGCTGTCAAAACTTGATGGCTGGCTGCATCTCTGATGCCTAGCTAACACTTTGAATCAGTTAACTTGTAATTAAGTCTGTGGAAATTAATAAAATGCAGTTTTTCTAAGTTTATGCAACAGTTTTGCTGAGCATATACACCAGGAAGATTTATTCCCAAAAATTGACAAAAGACAATTAATTTTGTCTCGTTCTACTTTCAGTGATGTGTCAGGACTGGATTCTCTTCATCAATGACTTTTCCATTGGCAAAGCCCCAGAAAGCAATGGCCGTAAGTTCTACCTGACAAGCTCTGGCTCAGCATCACCCAGTGGCAGTTTTGTTGGCTCACCAACTGTTGGCCCAGATAGCAAGAACACAAATAAACCAGCCACACCCAAGTCTGCACTCTCCAGGATGAGGCTATGGGGAGGAGGCGATTCCAAAAACAGGTAGAATTTATATGTTTTGTCTTTCTTATCTCTAGGAGTCTTTCAACAAAGCATACAAGTTATAAAACTGAAGGGGTCTTCAGGCACTATCCCTGTTGGGAAAGGTAGTTTACATTTCCTGAAACCCCCCCCCCTCCCCCTCTCTTTTCTCAGCATTATTGCTGGTATTGGTTTTTTTTTTTTTCAGTTTGCATTCATCATAAATACAAGCTCTGGTAGATATTATAAGAGTAAAATTTCATGCCTTATATCAGTTACTGTCCCAGCCATTAGGTGAACAAGTGAATGAATAAAAGCTAGAACTAATTTTTGGGGACAGCACATTTGGTCAACATGTCTTTTGGATAATGAAGCCCTGTTTCTTGCCTTTTTCTATTTCAGAGCTGGAGAAGAAAGTGTTGCTTTGAGTGACTGTCTTCAGCTGGCGTACCTTTCTTCTGCTCATCACCATCTTCTAGCATTGTTTCCAAGGGAAGTAATGATCTTAGATATGGAAATCAACCAGGCAGTTTGCTCTTTTAGCCTGGAGAGAAACAGCCCTTCTTTTCTACAAGTCATCCCTTGTCAACAACGCGATGTCCTCATGTGTTTACATGAGAATGGCAGTGTTATTATGCGAGTGCGTAGACGGGTAGAGAACAATCCTTACTTTTTTGAACCTGATGAAAGGAGTAATGATACCAATTCATCTGTGGACATCATTTATGAAAACAAATGCCAGTCAGATCCACTGCGTCTCGGCAAATCAAGCCGGCTCTTTGGCTTCATGTGCTGTCCAACAAGTGAACGGAAAGTTGCCCTTCTGATTAGTGATGGAAGGATGATCATATGGGAATTGAAGGCTAAAAGGCTTCAAGGAGAAGCATCAGTCTTGTCAGAAGAAGCTTTGAAAGCTTCACTGCCATGCAACACAGACTCTGAACAGCTACAGTGTCATGTCAATCCTAACTTGACACTTTCTGATGTGATTCCTCCTCCTCTTACATCTGGAAATGTCATTCAAAATTCTGTTCATTACAAGTTTATCATGGCAGCCCTGTCCAGTGTAGTATCATCTCCGACTTGCTCTGTCATGTGTCCGCCATTGACAACTAAGAACTGGGCAAGTTACAAGCCTTTATTAGCAGTTGGTAAGAGACTTCATTATATGCTATACTCTGCAATTTTGCTTCTGCTTTGTATGATTTTCAATAACACATTTAAAACACCAATTTTTAAAAATGATTGTTAATTTTTTCTTGAAAAGGAAACAGCCAAGGTTGTGTTCAAGTTTTTAATCTTGGTACTGGCCTGCTTACTCGGGAATATACCATCCATACTGGAGCAGTGAAGTAAGAATATTGACTGACTTCAACTCTGAGTAAAATTCAGTTTGAATAATGCATCACTGAGCTGAGCTTTGGAGAATGAGCTACAATGAGTGGCAAAAGTCTATGCATGCTGCACGCTCTACTACTTTTTTAATTATTTTTGTCATAACTTTCATTTCCCTGTCCCTTTCCCCTATTTCAATGTTTCATGGTGTAATAAATTGTCCACTAATTTCAGGCAATAGTCTATTTTTGGGAGGGGGGACTTTGAGGTAATACATTGGAGATGAATTATACAATTTTTGTTTATTTTGTTCAGTGGAGGGTTGTCAACCATGTAGTAAGGGAAGGTGATGTCTTTGTTTTTACCCGATTCTATTTCTATTAGGGGCTTTTCCAGAGGACTGCACATCAAGTTTTTAATGTGTTAGGAATTTTTAATTTAATTAATGACATTTTTTGTTTCTGTTTCAGAGGAATTACATGGAGTAGCTTGGAGAGTTTTTTCTCTTGGGCCCAGGCCTCAGGGAGTACATCCAAAAATGAGTTACAACTTGTCAGCATAAAAACTGGTGTGAATACGCTTGAACTGTTTTAGGAAATGTGTTTTTGAACCGAATTTTTTCTGACCAAGACATTTTTTATTTCCCTGTATCAATTATATGTGTTGTTTATTGTTTACAAATTGCAGGTCAAACAACACCTATTGAACTTGGTAAAGCAGCTGAGGAATCAACTGTAGAGGCTGTTAAAGTTTCTCAACTTAGGTAATAATTACTTTAAATTTATTTTAAAATTTTAGAAGCAGACTTAATACTTCCAAGTCTCAACTGCAATTTCTAATTCAATTCTTTGTTCCATATTTGTAGTTTTTCTTGGAATATTTGACTTTTATTCCACGACTCGGGCAGTCAGAGGGCCAATAACTAAAATCAACCAATTAAAATGCTATTGCCGGTCCAATACTCTCTAAGTATTGGACCGGGCACTGTCCCGAATTATCCCGAATGATACCACACTTGTGTCCCTTTGAACTTCAGTCGTATAATAAATCTCTTATTAACCAAGCTTGCTCGGGACCGCACTGGAAGAATATCTGCCCTCAGTCTTTTTTGTACGGACCTTGCTGCGCTCGGTCCGTACTGTCAAGACCTCGGGCCGATATTCTCCCAGTACAGCCCTCGCACTTGGTTAATAAGATATATGTTTTTTTGCAGGCAATATTTTCTTGTTGTAATTAAGGACAGACCAATGCAGTTATGGGATTTGAAAAATCTCACAGTACTCAGGGAGATGGCATCAAAGTTTTCATCCATCACAGCTTTGGTATGTGTAAACTTTGTGTAATGTTTACTTGCTACTATCATATAGTGATCACTCATTTTTGTCAGCATTTTTCTTTTTACTGCTGCACTACAATACTGCAATACAGAAATTTTGAACAAGTTGTTATTCTTCCTACTGTGCTACACTATGATTGGGGTGAGTCTTAAACAGAGGCCCCGAGGCTGTCTTTGCATGGACCTCGTTACACTTGGTCTGTACAAAAACCACAAGTTTTGGTTGAGTATTCTTATAACTTGGATAATGGATTATATTTCCAAGAGGTCTGGAAAGGAACAGACTGACAGCAATTTTTATAAAAATAACGACACATTTGAAACTAAATTTATAAGACATGTTTTAGTCATTCAACGACCATCTTCAGTTGAGAGTAGAACTGATTTGAGGTTACATTTGAATTTATAATGTAGTACTAAACAAAAGCTATTGAAACTAACAGAATACAAAAGGTAACAAAAGAGTGTATAATGTCACGTGTTAATTAGAACGAAAGAGTTAAATTAAGGTGATAAAATTGCTTGTTTAAAGAAGGTTGCGCCCAGGAAATATGTAGTGCTTCTTTTATCTTGACCTGGAATCTTGTGGTCACATGATCTATAACTTTAAAACATTCAGCAGAGCTGGAATTGCGGCATGCTTGGGATTGTTGAAGATGTCCTGGGAACAACCTTCTTTAAACAAGCAATTGTATCACATTAATTTAACTCTTTCGTTCTAATTAACACGTCATATTATACACTCTTTTGTTACCTTTGGGTATTCTGTTAGTTTCAATAGCTTTTGGTTAGTACTATATTATAAATTCAAATGTACCGGTAACTTCAGATCAGTTCTACTCTCAACTGAAGATGGTCATTGAACGACCGAAACATGTCTTATAAAATTAATTTAGTTTCAAATGTGTCGTTATTTTTATAAAAATAATGGATTATGTTTGGATAATTTTGGGAGAAGTTACATGTTCATCGCTTCTGGGTGTTAAAGGCCCTGGGCCAAATGGTGAACCATAACTTCATTGTCCTTTACTCTCCAGGAATGGTCACCATCTCTTCACTCCAAGCACTTGAAGAAAAAGTTGAGTCAGCAGTTGGAGCAGAGTCCTTCTGGTATTGCAGCTAATGTTTTGGATCCAAGCAGGGCAAACCAAACACAGACGCAGGTGAAAATACTTCCCTCACCCATAGAGCTACTAAAAAAAATCATCTTCACTTTGCAATTTGTCTGGAGACAGGCCCTTGCTCTCATCTCATCAGCACTAGTGTTTCACCTCTCATCTCATCAGCACTAGTGTTTCACCTCTCATCTCATCAGCACTAGTGTTTCACCTCTCATCTCATCAGCACTAGTGTTTCTTCACCCCTTGGAAAGTCTGAGGCCCTGAAGAGCAATGCAAGCAGGGGAAAGATCTTTAAAGGGTCGACATCCCTGGCAAACCTCACTCCATAACTCATCTTAAATATTCCTGCGGGTTGAGAAATGCGTGTTCTGCTGCGTCGATAATGAGGACCTGTAATCTTTAGTAATTAGTTCAAGTGGACACCAATCTTCTGGGGTTTTTCTTTCACATTGGAAGTTTTGATGACATACTTAGTAATTGTTGCATCGAATCTAAGTAAAATCACAGATAACATACTGTTGCAAATTGCAGTTATGACAATCAGTAACTCTTCTGTCTTGTGGTTCACCAAAAGAGCTTTTAATGATTATATTTAACAAGTTCTTTTTTTTCCTTCAGTCTTGGATAAAAGAGCACTTTGTATGTATGGATCAAGACAGAGTGTTGTATCATTTTGTCGTGGAAGGAACAGTGATCAAAGATGGCTCCAAAGTTCAGTGTGATGTAAGCTACTCATGCTGTTAGTAATGTTCTGTCAGTTGTTCTTGCACAAACTGCTGAGGACAATAAAGTTATTTTGTCTCGTTTTGATGATACATATATCTTATTAACCAAGTGCGAGGGCTGTACTGGGAGAATATTGGCCTGAGGTCTTGACAGTACGGACCTCGCTGCGCTTGGTCCGTACAAAAAAGACCGAGAGCCAATATTCTTCCGGTACAGGTCTGAGCAGGCTTGGTTAATAAGAGATTTATTATATGACTGAAGTTCAAAGAGACACATGTGCAGTATCATTCAGGACCATTCAGGACCATTCGGGACAGTGCCCGGTCCAATACTGAGAGAATATTGACCGGCAATAGAGCATTTTGATTGGTTGATTTTAGTTATTAGCCCTCTGACTGCCTGAGTCGTGTAATAATAATGAGTTACTGTTAGGGAGGGGATGTTAGGGGAACTGGTGGCAGAAGGTATGGTAAATCCTCCCCATCCCTTTTAGTATTTAGGACTTTTACAATGCAACTCAACTGACTGTTTGAGTTGAAATAAATTTTTTTGTTTGAACACTGGTAATTGATTTTGTTCCACCCTTCCACAGAGTACTCTTGGAATTGTAACCTATGTAGCTTGGAAAGGTGACTTTTTGGTGCTGAGTGATGTGGATGGTAATTTGAGTATCTGGGAATTAAAGGCTAGAGTCACCAGGTAAACACATCAGTTTTGTATCTTGTTAAAGAGGAAAAACTTATGTTGCTATTGGAATAATGAGTATGTTTTTTTTTTGTGGTTTTTCCATTTGTCAGTCATTTTTCTTTTTCAGTCATTTTGATCTTTTTTTTTTACATTACAAGATCTATTGCAACACACAGAGGACACATCAAGAAAATAAAGTTTGGTCCTGGGCGGGGTAACTTCAAACTGGGCGTGCTCTTCAGTGATGGAGTTGATATTTGGGACCTACAAAAGGTAATTTAAATAAATTGCAAACATATGAAACCACATGATAGAGCTACAATTATAAAATATGCTACTCAGAATGACATCTTTATAGCTTTCCATCACCTTGCACTGTCAATGTCAACAATGTGTTGGCCAAAGGCTTAATTGTTATCTTCTGTGGTTAATTTCAAGATTTGTGGCATCTTGTTGGATTAAAAAATTAAACTGTACAGTTTTTTTCTTCATAAGTTTGAGATATTCAGTAACTACAAGCTGCCAAAGGATTCTCCCCCACTTATTGACCTAGACTGGTTGGCATCAGACTTACCAATAACCACCCACTCTAATGGAGCAATCTTTGTCATGACCATGGATCTAAAACACTCTTCCTCACCTATGGCTCAGATGGATCTTGATGGTATGTGCTTGTATTTGACCCCTCTCGTTATTGAACCTCAAAGAGGTGTAAAGCACTTCATTTGCAACAGATTGTGTTCTAATTTGATTACTGCTGGTTCAGTTGGACTTTTGTCTGTCCTCTATTAGCATCAGCCGTGTAAATTGTCATCTGTTTTGCTATTTCGTTATTAAGGTCCTTTATGGTGTCCTCACATCATGGAGCCAAAATCAAGTCTCATTCTTAAGTCCATTCTACAGCACTCACTTGGAAGGGACAAATACTCACTTACAGATATTTCAGACTTGTAAGGCACAGATTTATTAGTTTCTCTATGTGTAGAGGTAATGCTTGCAGGACACAGTCATATCTGACTTTGAAAGAGTTGTACTTTCCATTAAAACTCTTTAGACTCTAACCTCAATATCCAGTATCTTTATACTCATCTTTATACTTGTCCTTTGGTACTAACAAGGAGAATTTGTTAGACAAACGAGCCTGTCAGGTTGGAAATCATTTCGTCTCTACTCGTGATCTCAGTGAATGATTGAACAGTGTTAGTGTAGATGCTACTCGCTCTTTAGAGTTTAAAGGGTTATGGAGAAGAAAGTGCTTAGATGTTCATCTTTAGGTTTGTTCTTTTTATTTAAGATATACACGTAAAGGAGCACAAATCAAGAAAATAATTTCGTTAAGTATATTTTTATGAAAATCCTATTGGCAAGACCAATTTTACTCCTTTCTTGAGTAGAAGGTAGAGCTTTTCGTGTTTTTCATTTCCATAGCTGAAGTCTTACATTACCTTTGTATTTACTCTGTGTGCTTTTATTTATTTATTTATTTATTTATTTATAAACTTCCCCAAAAACAATTTGGCAGGAGAGATCTCACAGAATTAATGTTCCAGTAATGAGACTCCTAAACAATCAAACAAAAACAAAACAAAAAATTAAAGAAATTTAATTTACTTTAATCGATCCAGGGAAATCCAGAAAGAAGAAACTCTCCGTGCTATTGAAGATCAGTTACAAATGATTCCGCCGTGAGTATAAGAAATGTTGTTGTCTTTAGGAAGAAATTACACTTCACACCTGTCTTACGAGATTCCTGATTAAAGTTCACAACTGTTGCCATCGAAGGCTGCAAAACGTAAGAGACGTTTACTCGGTACATTCATAGAAATGATTTTTTTTCTCTACAGAGCCATTGCAAATCTGCTCCAGAATTCTACACTAGGGACTGCACAGAAGTGCTACCTTACTGCTTTGTAAGTTCAGTGTGTTATAAAGCTTTGGGTCAGATTCAATCTTTTAATCAAGTTGGTATGTTCTGTTTCACGACATTCTTGGGGTTCAAAACATTTACTTTTAAAAAAGCATGAACTACTCCGTCTTTAAATCAGGGAACACGAGTGAATTACGAATGAAAGCTAATCTCTTTATAGTATTAGCTTTAGTGCCGCGAGTAGGTTTCAAATCTCGTTTTCACGTGTATTGCTTGACTTAAATCTCTGTTTATGATTTCTCGTTTCAGTTTATATGGAGATGAATCCGAAACAACGTTTTGGGAAGTTGCTCTTCACTTCCTCAGACGAGAAAAGGCCAGGTTGTTGTGCGTAAAGCATCAGGTGCGTGTAAGAGTTAAGGAAGAATTTAAGTATCTGCGGCTGAAAATACCACTTAGGTTGGGGAATGGAGGAACGATGGGGCTAGTCTTAACGAGCTCAGCTCAGTGGTACACAACTACTGATCCATGATATGACGCGACTTCCAGCTTTGCTACTCCTCTTGGATGAGAAAGTAGCTTATCGCTAGTATTCTCCCAGTCTCTCGCACCCCACCTCTATCGCTCTAACCCAGACCTCCCGAATCTGAATTTCAGTGCGTCAACCGAGTTTTCCTCCACAAGATGGCTGGATGTGCTTGAAACGTCCTCATTAGTTCACAGTTGTCGATTTTTCTCTACCTTGCAGGGTGATCATCAACCCATGTACAATCGTGCACGATCATTCTCTGCTGATCTCTTCAACCCGTCCGAGACTACAGCCAAGCTTAGACGGAGCTTCAGTGCCAGGAGCCTGGACCTGTTATCAATCGACGATGACCTAGACATGTGTGGTCAAGAAGAGACTGGTATGAATGGAAGCGAAACCTGCTGCTGCTACCCAGTCTCCCTAGACACTTGTTACGACATACTCAGTGACACTGATGCATTCCAGGTGAGTCGACTCTTAAGTAAGTAAATTAGTAGTGTGCTTCCTTACACCTCCCCCCCCCCCTATAGGGCTGTAACCCTACTCCTCTCCCTTGCTGAAAAACAGCAATTAATCATGGCTCCTGCAATCAATCGGCCCATACCCACAAGACCGCCTCCCGGTTAGCTCAATGGATAGAGCGCTGGACTGATGTGTGGGAGGTCGAGGGTTCGAGCCCCGGCCGGACCAACACTCAGGGTCTTAAAATAATTGAGAAGAATATGCTGCCTTTTTATAACATCAAGAAGTGGTTTAGATATTCTAGTCTTCTCGGATAGGGACGAATAAATGGTGGTCCCGTCTCCTGCAGGGTTAGGGGTAGGAGACGTTAATTTCCCACGTACGAGATTACTGTGTGATGGATGTCCTCCCCTGGGGTGGGNAATATTACTAAACTTTGATTTTTACCGACCAGTTCAAAGCGAATGGCCTGTTTTTGAGTCTATGAAAATTTCATCACATGAGTTTGTAATAATTCAATTTGTTTTTCAAATTTGTACATATTTTGATCTTTTCTCAGAGGAGTCAGTTGGACCGACTTGCTCTTCATGACAGCAAACGATCCACCTACGAACACACAAAAAAATGTGCTGACACTCTGGTGCTCTTGGGACAAGTAGGAACACAGTTTGAGTTTATATTTGTTTTATACACTCAATAAACGTATATGAGAACGATCCTTCGCAGTAATATGTTTCATATGTTTCATATGTTTCTTGTTGTTTGATACTCAATAAACTTAGTTAAAGTTGTTGAAAATCACAGGTAGCGCCTGGTCTATCTTTTGATACAATTTCAATTTCGATGAACAGCTATGGCAATCTCAGGTCTTCTTCGCGGCTCTCCTACTTTGTACGTGAAAAAAAAAATAACTATATTCTTTAGGGTCTATCGTCAAGAGTACGGCTTTGTAATAGGTATGCCTAGAACGTTTTTGTGGTGGTCAGCGCTGGACGATCTCGTCAGCAACAAGGGCTTAATGATGCATTTATTGCCTTAACTATGTTGCCTTATGTTGTATGACATGATTGTGTTACAGGCAGATAGAGCAGTGCAGTTGTTTCTAGAGACAGATGCCGCCAATGATAACTATTATGTGGACTCTCTAAGGTATTATTGAACATCAATTTTTTGCTCAATAAATTTACTTGGAGCAAAATTTGACTCCAGAACTGAGTTTGGTAATTGTGTGTTTATTTGTCGAAAGTACTCTGAATTGGCTTTGGTTTTGATATGCGTCGCTCTGATGGTTCACAAGAACCCGAGCGAACTTCACAGCCAATCCAATTGAAGCTTAAACCAACCACTGGCATTGAGTGACGCGTTTTCCCTCGCTTCTGGACTCTAACGTGTATTTGGTTTGAGTTCGTCTCTTTTTTACTTTTGGCCTGATTGGCTGTTTTGATAACTTTGGTTTTTGTTTCACGGCACCTGATTGAAAGACATCCTGAACGAAAAGTAGAAGATAAAACAAGGTTTTGAAATGATGACCTTTTTGAGGACTCTTCCAGAGTCTAAGGATGGACTAGACTCTTCCCTTGTAAAGACGTCTTTCCTTCGACTTTCTTCCCTTTAATTTTTTTCCTCCATAGAGCCTGTCTTGTGGCCACGATTCGTTCGTCGGGCGCTTCACAGAGCACCATCAAACTGGTGGCCACAAATCTCATCGCCAGCGGTAAACTTGCAGGTGAGCATGATTAGAACAATTAACGGGCATGTTCAATGTAGTTGGCGATATTGTATGGGTTCACACTAATCTTTTTGTTACTATGTACAGAGGGAGTTCAGCTGCTCTGTTTGATTGACAAGGGCCTGGATGCCTGCCGTTATCTTCAGACATACGGTGAATGGGATCGAGCCGCGTGGCTTGCAAAGGTGATAACTCAGCCCATTCATTAATTTCCGATACTGTTTCAGTGTGTCCTCCATTTCTCCTCCCGCGCAAAACTACAAATACGGCAAGTTTCAACAGAGTGTAACGGAAGTAACCCGAACTTGCCTTCGTAAGCTTTGTGATTGATCCAAAGAACACGTTCCATTCTCTTAACCAATCAGATGCGATATTAAACCAACCGCGACTCGGTCACAAGTGTTTCCCGTGCTGTTGGAAGTTTGCTCGTTCGTTATTTGAGCTCCTATTGGCAAATTGTGATATTCACCTCTTTTTTTATTCGAAAAGCTCTCTAACCGAGAACACCGCTGAAACGTATAGATTAAAACAATTTCTTCAAAGTTTTCGGACACCATACAACATCATCTGGAGTATTTGATATCTTTGTTATTTATATCGAAAATAAATTGTACCGTATTGTAATTTTATAAAATTAGTAAGAATTAGATATCAATACCTCTATCACGAATATGATTTGTTCGTATTAACTTCGGAATTTAAGAAAATATTCGATTAGAGCAGCCTTTTTAACCCTGTAACCTTCAAGATCTGGTTCTTAATTCCTCTCTTCAGCTGCTACAAGTTTCTTTGTGAATTTGTGATGAGAATTTGGTGTTAAATCAAGATAACAACTACTACTTGATAAATTGAAGTTCCCAAAGCAAACAGGTGGACAATCAGACACGGTTTGATGCTACTCTGGTTTAAGGATTTAATGAATGTAGCCGGGGAACTACAATTCATAGGGTCTATGAATTGTAATTCCCCCGGTTACATATATTAAATCCTTAAACCAGAGTAGTATCAAATCATATTTACTTCTTGATAAGTGTGAGTAATGTGATTGGCCTGTTTGCTGAGTAATGTATGCATGGATATTGTTGGGAGAAGAGAGATGTGAATCAGTTCTGGGACTCCAGGGTTGAATGGATTTTACTGATTATTATTGCAGGCTACTCTGAACTATCCAGACTGTGCAGAGGTGGTGAGGAGATGGATTGAGCATCTCTCCAGTACACACACTAGTCAACAGGTCAGGGTGGAACACAATATCACAACGAAATACTATATTTGCCTCCCGCTCGCTAATGGTTTAAAAATGTTTCATGGAGAATCAAATAGGCCTTTTGCAGTTAGAGATCACGTGCTTAGATACCGCGTAGCAACGCCATACTGGAGAGCAAGCACTCCAGTGATCTCAGACAGTATAGAGGTCACAGAGGTCTGCATTCAAACAAAGAATACAGCGGATAACAAGTTAAAGGGTATCCCAATTCGAGAAATCTTGTAAGTTTTAATCAACAGCTTCCTTGGAGTGTATCAGCGAAAAACGAATTTTGGTGTGATTTTGCTGCTGGTACACCCCGGGGAAGCTGTTGATTACTTCTTACTGGATTTCTCGAATTGGGATACCTTTTGACCTGTTATCCGCTGTATTCTTTGTTTGAATGCAGACCTCTGTGACCTCTATACTGAGATCACTGCAGTGCTTGCTCTCCAGTCTGGCGTTGCTATGCGGTATCTAAGCTCGTGATCTCTAGCTGCAAAAGGCCTATTAAGAGCCTCAGCTCTGTGTCACGTGATAAGCGTAGATAAATCGTGTTACGGAGATATTCAAATGTTTTATTCCATATTTGAATATGTGTTTTTAATCAAAGTTTCTGTGACACCCAATCTCTTACAGAGCAAAGCTGTTTTGGTGTTGCTGTCGTTAGGAAAGTTTTACAGGGCGCTTGATATGCTCTACAGGTAAGAACAAGAACTCAAAGTTTTCTGAGTTTGGAAGTGTTAGTCATTAAAATTGTATTTCTGTTCATTTGCAGCATGCGTTACTTTGACCGAGCAGCATTGTTTGCCGAAGCCTGCCAAGAATACGGCTTTCTTTCACCATCGGACGAAAAGAACAGTATCCTTTTAAAATAAGATGTTGTTGTACGACAGGAAGGCTACAAAAAGGAATTGCAACGAGCGAGGGGCGGGGGATGGGTGATTGCCTTCGATTAACTAGCATCGTGACCAGGTGAATTGCGGAAAATTATGATAATTTATGCCACGGTAATGGATATTAACACTACTGTTTATGCAAGAATGAATAGGCTTGGAAATTCGTAGGCTTGTGACAACTGTTCTGTCTCCTGTAGACTGCGCTTAAGACGTGTGACATGAAACAACAAAATCCTGTTTAGAATATGTCCTTAACACACTGAAATCAGCTGCCCTGGTGCACGCAGTCTACACTGAATATGCTCGATATCTCCACGGTCTTGGACTTGAAAAACCGGCTTATTTCTTTGCTAGTAAAGTTGGACCAAAAGCAAGACAACTTCTGGATGGACTGTAGAAATATAGAACACAAAATGATGTACTGCTGAGAATAGTTTTATTTGTTAAACAACGCTACTCAACATTCACGTATCTTTTAGTTTAGTTGATGGTACGGTTTTATCACAATACTAAACACTGTTGGAAACCTGACTTATATAATGCCTACTAAGGTTTTATCAAGATAAAGGGACCGAAATGGCAGCCTGGAATGTAAGACATAATCTCCAATTCTCGACGGAAATCAATGAGTTTATTCACCCACTCCTAAGTGGATAAAGTGATTTACAGGAAAACCAGAGCGGTAAGCTGTGTTCATCGATCCCGCTCCAACGCCAGACACGACTATCCGCAAACAAATATTACAACGCGGTAATTGCGTATTGAAATTATAAGCAACGTACGGCAACATTGTGAAGAAGTGATCTATAGACCGAGAGACTTGAAAGGATTGCGAGGCCGTACTTATTAGTAAGTTCCACCCAATGCTAAACACCACTCGTTAGAAATAATCACGAAAATTACAATCATAGAAGTCCATGGAAATTTCAGCTCATGTGTGATTCAGTTTAGTCAGCTTGCCTGACTTCTCAAAGACTCGTCTCTTCAGTTATCTGAAATAACAATATTTGAGACGATAAAACAAACTTGAAAACTTCACTGAAATTCGACGTTAATCATATTTGCCGACTGTGAAAACTTAACTGAAATGAGGATTTGCAAGGGCTTCATTTGGGGATTAGACAGACAGACAGACATCTATATTTATACAGGATAGCCCCTTCAGTGTAGTAAACACTGGGGGGTCCTGTTACCCACCCATCCCACCACCCCAGGGGAGGACATCCATCACACAGTAATCTCGTGCGTGGGAAATTAACGTCTCCTGCCCCTAACCCTGCAGGAGACGGGACCTCCATTTATTCGTCCCTATCCGAGAAGACTAGAATATCTAACCATTTCTTGATGTTAAAGAAAGGAAGCATATTCTTCTCAGTTAATTTTAAGACCCTGAGTGTTGGTCCGGCCGGTATTGAACTCTCGACCTCCCGCACAGGAGTCCGGCGCTCTCCCAATTGAGCTAACCAGGCGGCGATTAGCAAAACTTGTTGATTTAACTTGTTGATTAGCAAAACTTGTTGATAAATTATTCATGTAAATTCTCTGTACCTGTCAAAATTCAATCCCTTGCTTGTCTTTCCATGCAACTTCAGTCAATTAGCTTTAGTCACACCGTCAGGCAAGTAGTGTCCAGTTTATCAGTCAGTCAGTCAGTCAGTCAGTCAGCCATTTGATTATTAAGTCTAGTAGTAAATGCGTCACCTCTAAACTGTTGCGCGCGTTGTTACTCGGAGATAAAAGTGAAACTTAAAATTCAGTTTTTCCAAACGGAGCCAAATACCTGCACAGATTTTTGCGCCCGGAAACTCCGTCTCAAAGGAGATCTTGGGAATCCATCAGCATGGCCTCCCAATTCTTGCCACATTAACTCCTGAATATTCTTGATATCTTTAATATTTTCAAAATCTTCCTGCCTGGATTCCTCTCTTACTTGATGTAAATATCTCTCCACGATCTGCTCGAGTACTTCCCTTTTGTATTTCCTTCTGTCTTCTGCCGCACTCAAATTTATCTTCAACACGTCCTTAAAAGAGAAACAGATTAAATAATTGAGGTTTAGAAGTCGAGCCAAATTTACGATGACGGAGGATATGACTTACCGTAAAAGTCCACGAAGCTGGCAGGTCTGCAAACTATGGGGTTCTCACAGGGTAGCAATGGGTTTGTAAAACGTACGTGATGCGTAATGTACTAGATGCATGAATAAGGCCAAAATTAATATCGAACGCGTGAATTTACAGAAAAGTGAGCGTGATTCGAGAATTTATGAACCAGGGTGAGGCGTAATTTGCCATATGAAAAAAAAGCGACCCATGATTTTTTTCTGTCGTTTCAAGAAAACCTTAAGATTTCTTTGAAACCATGTACATAATAAGAGAGAATTGAAGTTTTCCCTTTAACATCTGTGAGGCATGAAATGCTGTTCAAATTATACGTGACGCATCAATTTTTCTAAAAATTCGTGCGTGAAACGGGATCAGGACCTCCCCATCCCTCCCCCCTTCTTTTGCTACCCCGTTCCCAGTTAATTCTCAAAACGGTTTAAAAACGTTACGATCGCAGATTCTTTCTGACTGGAAGCTACTCAGGTTGTCCAGAAACTTACTTGTTCTTCTCGCGAAACTTCCGCCCAGTTCTTGAAACTTTTTTTGTCGTTGTTGTTGTTAGCTACGTAAGGAGTAGCTTGGCTCTGAAAGGTGGACAAAAAGTTTCACGTTTGTTGGACGACAGCTAAAAAATTTTTTTTTCTCAATTACCGATTGCTGTTTGAAACAAGTAACAAATAATCTACCAATTTTCTGACTTTCCCCCACCTTGTATCATACCTATTCACTTTTTATCCATCCCTTGCCAATCCTTCCGCTTAAACTGAATCGAATGCTAAAACAAATCTAGCCTTTCTCGTGTACTCAGTTTGAGTGGACGAGAAAAAGAGTGGAGCAAGGGAGAGAACTAGCGGCGGTAAAGTACAGAGAACAAAAGAATGAGAGAGCCTGGACTGTCTGTCTCGAAAACACGCGATGAAGTCACGCTCCCGTGAGCGAAATTCTTCACTCGAGAAACTGATCAGGAGAGCATTTCAAGGTGAATAAGAGCTACACATTTTGACACCAAAAGTTTCATTATTCCGAAAGGGTCTCAGTGACAAAAGGCCCCCTTCCTTGTTAATTCTTCCAACACTCCCGCTAATTTTCACTTACTTGGTATTTGTCCTTCATTCTCTTGATCACATAAGCGAGGTCTGTCGGATTGGGAATAAGGTTGTAAGGAGGCGGAAGGACACTTCCTTTATTCACCCAGTTCATCCACATACGAGTCCTTGACACCTTCCAGTGAACGTCTTCTTCTTCCTGGAAAATGAAACAACTAAAACATATGTTGATCGAACTACACACAAAGTTCTTCTGAGATTTTTAGAAGCTAGCCGTAAAGAAAATCACTAGCAGACAAAGGTATCAAGATCAAGACAGGTAACAGGGTTCTCAATATAATTTTGTACAGCCGTTGCTGTGCCACCTCCATGCGTAACAGCTAAGTACATAGCCGAAGCTAAGGCTACGTATCTTAAGGCCCGCGAGTCCCAATTCAAATCGCAGCGGTCGTGTCTTAGCATGTGGGAAGACGACATCTTAATTGGAGAGGCCTGGGCTAGAACCTACAACGTTGCGGAGAAGTTATGAAGCATAGCGATTGTTCGCTGTCAGGCTCTTCGTTTCGAAAACTAAAACCGACTAACATTCAATACTAAACTCAATTATCTCTGCCCAAAGGCGTTCTTTTATTTGCATTTAATAGGCGTTGGTCTACTAGTCGAAGCGCTTTGACAGCCGTAACACTTACCAGTGACACTCGTGACAGGTGTTACGGGTTACTGGTTCAATTGTAAACCCTGGGTAATCTCTGCTTTATCTAATTAAAGTAGCCCGACTGCTTCAAAAACAAGGCGGCAGTCCTAGCGTCATAGCATACAATCCTTAAATAAAAGCATCTTCAATCGCTGTAGAAAGTAATTGTGGATTGCATTAGATTTTCTTAACTTTGCTTTCGGATTGACCCAGGAAATTTGTGCCTTTCTCTCAACCAATCAAAGTCAAGACCACAACCAATCAGTACTTGATTACTGGCGTTTTCCCATGCTTCAGGCAGTTTACTTGTTGTTACTTTAACTTTTAGTTCTCCGTGTGATATTTGTTTAGTTATGTTTGCATGGTAGTTGTGATTACTTTGGTTTTGGTTTTCACATAACTCAAACAAAAGGCATTCTTTATTGTTATGTCAAGAGAGCAATTACTCACCACAATTGTTTCAAATGACCTTGACATCATTGCAATCAGCATGTTGAAAGCAATAACCACAATAAGAACTTGGTAGAAGCCAAACAGTGCAACACCTGTCTGCTGCGTGATCCCAAACTCAGGTTTGTCAATTGCCAATGTGTCCAAATCAGTCAAACCAAATAGGGACCAAAACAAACTTCCCAAGCTCTTATCCACTCTACAGAATAAAAAAAGATAATTTTTCACTCCAATTTCCAAAGACAGATTATGGTTAGGGTACTTTTGGTATCCTCAAAATACAGTGTCAGAGTTCCTACATACTTAAGAACAGCAAAGAAAAAATCTTTAACTAACATCAGAATGTATATTCTCCATGTTTTTCTCTATACATATTCCTACAGTGCTCACCAGGAGAATTTGTTTAACAATCAAGAGCTTCTTTAATTAGTTGGTGATTATTTCCTATATTTGTGTGACCTTTATGTTTGATTCAGGGGTTATATTGTGGGGAAGAAATTAAATTATAGAGTGCACTCTTAGGGGTGAAATGGCAAATGAGAAATGATTTCTGGAGCATTCAGTGTACTTATCCTTCAAAGAGCCAGTGCTGTGTACCTTGCAAAGTGGTGTTCTTGGCGGCTTGTTCCATTTACCTTTGCCAATTGATACAGCACACTGTTATACTGTGAGTACAGTTTCCTCAAACTAAACCCAAATGCTATAAAAAGTAAAGCAAAGAATACCAAGAACTTGAGAACATCTCTGAACAGTCTGTACAAGGACAGCTGCAAGGGACCAAATGTAGCATTTACTTGGAAAGCACTGGAGATGTGAAAGAAACTCAGCACCATGCCCACTGTGTATAGACTGTTTGCTATCAAAATAGGCTGGTACCCAAGAGAGGACACCAACTTGCCAAACTGATCAAGGATTGCCCAGCTCCTCACTAGGCCATAGGCAATTATTTGGAAGCAGTAGGAAAGCAAAAAGAAAGTTATCATCAACAGGGACACTAAATTCCACCACTGCCGTCTGTAGAGATTTGCACCCTGGTAGTAAAATACTTTCAGCTCTTGTACTGCCAGGCCAACCACCCACAAAAAGACCAACCACTCTGCAAAAGAAAAACAAATTGTAAGGTCACAAGAAATAAAGATTAGTGAAGACAAAGAGAGAATTGACAGGGCTCGAAATTAACGGTAACCCGTTAACCAATGGTTAGTAATTTTCAATGTTTGGTTACTAAAAATGTGTCCAACTAACCCGACATGGTTAGTAAAATTTTCCAAAATATTTAAACATTGGTGGACTTCGGGACAAACAGCACGTAGACCCGACTCTCAGAGGAATACTTAGAATACTCAAGTTGTTAAATCAACTCAAACTCTTTTTAGAGAATTTGCTGTAGATGTACTGTTCTTGACTAATCATGGTAAATGAGAGGGAAATAAAGTACGTACATAATTGTCAACCTTTCAGCTACTCTTTAATTTGTCCTAGTCGTTATTATCAAAATGTTGAATATTTGAGATATCATACCTTGTGAGCTTGGATACCAAACTTATAATTTGGTTAGTAAAAAAGATGTCTACTAACCCGAAGGGTTAGTGATCCAAAAATTAATTTCGAGCCCTGATTGAGGGCAGGAGACAAACACAAAGGATGTAACAGGAATGAAACAGGCCCAGAGTACCAATGAATTAAGGGTACTCACGCAAGGGGCTCACAGTAAGGAAGGCCAAATATTATAAAATGGTGCCAGGGGAGATAGAGCTCAGGCTCAGGAGCAAGCTAAAGAAATGCAAGAGATCAAGAAAGGACACTGAGGGAAACATAAAGGAGAGATTTTGCAAATCTATTTCTTTATCTCTTTCTTTCTTTCTTTATTTTCTTATTCATTTACATATTACCACAGGAGAGATGCAGAAGGAGAGGTAATAGTAGAATAAGGGGGCCTTTGTATTCCTTGTAGTGCACAATAATTGAAGCAGACTAGTAGTTGCAATGAAAAGAGCATAAGACAATTTCATCTCTGAATCCCACCTTGGGCTCACCTAAAATACTTGGAGCATCCATTCCTGTGTTGAACTGATCTTGAAAAGCTGAGCAGATGAGCAAAACAAGAAAAACTGCAAAGGATCCAGTGTGGCTGATAAATTTCACGACTGGATTTGCCAGACCAACTGACAGTGATAAACTTGGCGCAACAAGGTAGATCATTGCCAGAAATGGGAAAAGCAAGGTGTGGCATATGCTGTAGACAGCTTTACTCAAAAGGCTTGAGCTCCTCCACGTTTGTTTACAGCAAAAAAATTGGGAAATTCCATTATGTAAGACTATGTTGAGTCTGAGTTGGCTATATGGATGAGCTACAAGCTGAAGTGATAAAAAAAATGAATCCATTTTCAGCAATTTTTTCTCTGAATACACAATGTTTGTAAGATTTATAGTATTTACCTTGGTGTTATTATTTCTTATTGCCATGTTAAGAAATGCAAGGTCTTTGGCCTCTTCTGTCTCTTCACAAAACTCAGTGTACTGAGTTTCTCTCTTGTTGGTGTCTTTGTGTACAATTTCTTGCTGCACATCTGTCAAAATCTTTATCTCGTCCATTGTTCTGCACTGCTCCAGAAGGCTGACTGCAAACTCCTCACATCCTTTAGACAAAGCTCCATAATCTCTCTTGAATTCATGATCAACTTTGGCTTTACGATCGAGAGTCTCGTGCAAGTTAAATGCAGTAAATATTGGGTGTTCACTTTGTTGGTTGTAAAGGTAAGAATATGCCATGTACAAGGGATTTGCAAGGGCACGATAAGAATTGATGTGCAGTAAGAATTGAATCTCGTCTTCGCTTGCGTCTGCATCTTCAGGGCGATCAATTCTAAATCCTTCTCCAACCATGTACTGTATAATGTCGTAATCCTTGAGTTGAACTGCCAACATCAATGGGCTCATAAAGAATCCATCTTGGCGATCAGTTGGCCCAATATCTCCCTTGAGTCTGTTAAAGAAGCGCTTGTCAAGAAATAGCTCGACGCATTCTTTGGAACCCTCGATGACGGCTGAGAAAAGAGCATTCCCAATCCGGACACCATTTTCGAGCAAGATCTCTGCAATGTCCGTGCGTTCGTTGAAAATGGCTAATCGAAGGGCAACTTTTCCTATTTCGTGTCGGCTTAATTCGAAAGTTGGACCTCTTGCAAAGAACGCCCTCACTCCTTTAACATCTTGCTCTTTGATAAGTTCCAAAAGTTCTCGTTGTTGTGCATTATAACAAACATCACTACTGTCAACTTCATCGTCAAAGCTCAAATATGCGCTTGGCTTACGTTTTGTCTTTCCTTTGGCTAAGTTTGACAATGACATGTCCACACTACCTGGAAGCGACTTGGTTGAACTTCTAATTTGCTCCAAGGCATTCTTTCGAATATTTTTAAGCTTTGCATATTCATGTGCAGCTTTATAATATTCCTATAAGCTGTGAACTTCATTTAAAACCACAATGGTGAGCTTTAGCATAAAATTTTTCTATTAAATCTCTGAGAAAACTTGCAATTATGCAAAAATGATCAGGCATTCCATCGTGGTGTTACATTCTGTCGAATGAAACTGGACACTAACATTGGTTTCCAGTTCTTCACAAAAACAAAACTAAAAAACAAGATGGGGTCTTCACCAGAAAAGAAAAATGCAAGACAATCTACACTAGCATTTCGATTGATCAATCCAGAGTTATTTATCAAACCTGTGAGTATCCTTGGTTTATTCTCATTTTTATTTGTTTTGATAATGAAGCAAGAAACATCAGGTTGTTCTCGGCCTGGCTTAGATTCATGTTATCCATAGTTAGTAGATGGAACTAACAATGTGTTATCCAATAAATTAAGTTGTAGATATTATCTTAAAATATTTTGAAGAGCTACGAAACATTTCATATTGTGTAATGCACTTTGGCGCCCAGTGAATTATGATTCATTCATTAGACTTAAAAACAACTACTCCCGTGCAACTCTCATTCCCATTACACAAACACTTGCATTAAGCACCCTGATTAACATGTAACTTCTCTCTATCATATCCATACATTACACAGCAAACAGGTAATGAGAATACTCAAAGTTAACAGGTGGTAGTTGTGCTCTTGATCCAACATCAAAACTCTCTTAACTAATATACGAGGAAATGTGTACCTAGCAGCTAGAGGAGAGAATTAACAATCAGATCTTTGGAGTGAAAGGATTCATTGGTTTGATTTCAACCGCCTCTCGGTTAGCTCAATAGATAGAGCACTGGACTGATGTGCGGGAGGTTGAGGGTTCGAGCCCCGGCCAGACCAACACTCAAGGTCTTAAAATAATTGAGAAGAATATGCTGCCTTTCTATAACATCAAGAAATGGTTTAGATATTCTAGTCTTCTCGGATAGGGACGAATAAATGGAGGTCCCGTCTCCTGCAGGGTTAGGGGTAGGAGACGTTAATTTCCCACGCACAAGATTACTGTGTGATGGATGTCCTCCCCTGGGGTGAGATGGGTGGGTTGTTGTCTTCCATTTCATACATGAGCCTCTGGCTAGGGCAATATGGGTAACCATGTAAAGACATTAAACTTTGATTACCATTACTATTAACATTCTGGCTGATTTAGGGGCACCGGTAGCTGCCTTATAAACACTCAGATAACAAAAGAAGCCTCATTGCCTCAATATACCTAAAATTTTTCCAAGAATTAAAGTCTGTAATTTTGAATGAAATTTTGCATTACCAATCATTGTGGTAACTTTCCATAGGGAGATTACAAAACATGGAGCCCTAATCCAGGGAGAATCCTATGGAGTACCTAAATGGAGTACCCCTAAAAATCAAGTATTGGTCAAATGCAATACTTTATAAACATGGTAGATCATTTAGAAGCACATATCTTAAGGTATTTTGAGCTTGCCGACTCCCCAATTGTCACAGTTCAATGCAGTCCAGTTTTTTGGGGGACAGGGGGCTCTCAGTCCTACTGGTTCTTCCATTTTGGTTTTTCTGCTGTGTAATGCATAATGAGTCCTTTGACTAGAAAGATTAAAAAAACTCCATGTGATGAACAAAACCCACTCAAAATACATTAAGATATGTACGTCTAAATGATTCACCATGTTTATTAAGTATTTTACTAGACCAATACATGGTTTTTAGGGGTACTCCATTTAGGCACTCCATAACGTACTCCATGGAGTAGGGCTTCACGTTTTGTCATCTCCCCTTCCTATAAATCTTATTTTTTTTAAATAAATGTTTGACTGCTTAAATTCACAAAGTTGTGAAAACTAAGTCTCATAGACATTGACAGCAAAGAAGGAGTTTTTGGAGTTTTTTAGAGTTGATTGTCGGAAACAAGACACAACCATCATTTTTTTTGACAGAAGCATTGCCAGAAGGAAAACATTTTGTAATTTTATTGTAATTCTTTGTTCTCAAATTTAGAACAAAGTGATGATGATCGGAGGTTCTGTGGCACTTGTTGGCTGTGTATTGTTCCTGGGCTACATGAATTTTGGAGGAGAAAAACAGACAGTTTCAACTTCAGTACATAACCATGGACGTGTTAAAAGCAAATGGGACTAGATGGCTTGTTAGACACAGGAAACCAATACTGGAGAAATGTCATCTGTATTATCAAACAACACTTTCAAATGTGGAACTTGAAGAATTTACTGAGGCAGTAACAACAAATCGAGTGTTTCAGTTGAAGTTAATTTTAACATCTTCAGTTTGCTACTGCCATCTTGCTGTTTTGTGAGTACATGTATGATGTTGTCACCAGTAAAAAGGCTAATGATGATACAAACAAAATCTAACACCGTCTGTAAGCAAATATTGATTGCCATTCTTAATGTTGAGCTCATAAAAGGCATAATTGCTTAACATGTTAAAAGCAAATGGGGACTACATGTAAATCGCTTGTTATACACCGGAAATGAACAATGGAGAGACTTCACCTGCATTATCAAGTGACACAATTAAATGTGGGATTTAAGGAATTTACTGAGGTTTCTCAATAAATCAAGCATTCCAGTTGAAGTTAATTGTAACATCTTTGCTACTGACATCCAGCTGGTTTGTGAGTATAATGTTGTCAACACTAACAAGGCTAGTAGTGATAAGTACAAAACCTAACGCTGTTGTTAAGCAAATATTGATTGCCATTCTTAATGTTGAGCTCATAAAAGGGGTAATTTTGCCAGCAATTATGTTGTCCAATTCGATCAAGCTTGCTCTCCGATGCAAACCATCAAGTGTGGTGTCCCTCAAGGTTCGATTTTAGGCCCACTATTGTTTATTCTATACATTAATGACCTTCTTAATGCCTCTGAATTATCAGACCCTCTACTTTTTCGCTGCAGATGACACCAGTATCTTTTATTCTCACTCAAATCTAAATTGCTTAGAATCCATACTTAATGATGAACTCCAAAACATTAACGTTTGGCTAAAATGTAACAAGCTTTCAGTTAGTATAAAGAAAACCAACTACATGATTTTAAACCCAGACAGAAGAAATTTAACTCTAGCATTTCTCTCTCCTTTGGAGGTAAATCCCTACAACAAGCTAATGTAACTAAATTCCTTGGGGTCTATATTGACAATCATCTCACCTGGAAATACCATAATTTTATCAGCTAGGTATGTAAACAAATCACTAAATCAATAGGTATTATAATTTAGGTCTCGCTTTTCCCTATCCTCTGCAACCAAACTCACTTTGTATTACACCTTAGATTATCCTTATATCATCTATTGTAACTCCATCTGGTCGTCCACATACGTATCTAACTTAAATAGAATTTATTATTTGCAAAAGCGAGCTGTGCGGGCTAGCACCAACTCAGACTATCGAGACCACTCTGCCCCTTTATTCTCCAAACTAGGAATTTTAGATATTTTCCAAGTCAATACGTTTCAAATCGCTAAATTTATGTTTTATTTCAAAAATAACCTATTGCCCCCCTTAATTCTCGATCTTTTTGTAAGGAATAGCCAAATTCACAACTATGGTACCAGAACAGCCAGTCATTATCGAACGCATTTGTGCCGTACAAATGTCAAACAGTTTACTATTCTCTACCAAGGTCCTAAAATTTGGAACTCTCTCCCTATTTCAGTCACTCGTTCGTCAAACTTTCTTAGAGCGCTGCACTAGTATCGCAGAGGTCAGTGGTTCGAATCCCGTACAGGCCTGATTTTTTTCAGGTCTGATTTTCGCTATTGCTTAAATAGCGCTATCTACTGCGAGGATCGTGCATCATATGTATCTAATACCGCAGTTCAAAATATATGAACTTCATATATTTCATTGTATCTGATTTATCACTTTCACGGGTTTATTACGAATCAACTTAACGGCCTGCTCCCAGTTGGCTTGTTAGCTCAATTGGTAGAGCGCTGCACTAGTATCGCAGAGGTCAGTGGTTCGAATCCCGTACAGGCCTGATTTTTTTCAGGTCTGATTTTCGCTATTGCTTAAATAGCGCTATCTACTGCGAGGATCGTGCATCATATGTATCTAATACCGCAGTTCAAAATATATGAACTTCATATATTTCATTGTATCTATGTATGTATGTGTCAAGATAAAACTCCAAGACATCTATTAATATGATGAGTTGTTTATTCAGTTCTCAGAGAAGATCGAAATTGGGGTGAAAAACAACTTTCTAAAAAACCTGTCGACCGTCAGTCGGCCGACAGTCGACCGATTGTGGGTCGAAGTCAGCCGACTGTAAACCGAAAGATTTTTCGATAAGCTTGTGAGAACGTGATTAGAGAAGTAATCCACACTGGAATGCTGTCGGCGATAATTACATATTTCCTTCCAAAGGAAGTGGAAAGGAAAGTTAATGACGAAATTTGAGACTCTCTTGAGCATGGAAATCTTGTCAATGGAATTACGTGTGTGGAAGTGGTACATGAGATGTTTAAAAAAGCCCATAACTTTGTGGTTAGTGATTCATACTTGCTGATAACGTTACAAGGAAATACCCCACACGTTAGCATAGAACAGTTGAAATATATTAGTTAAATCATTCCAGGATGAAATTGAGCTAAAACTAAAGGATAAAGCTTAAAAGGAACGCTCGCCTTTTGAACTTTTGAAATTTTCTATCGTGTAGTCGTCAGGATAGTGACCATATTCAAATGCACTGCATATAAATAAGAATTCTCGGTTTTCCTAACGCCACCGGGATGCTGTGAGTGCAATATCGAGTGAACAATTCATTAACAGCTTCTTGTTGCTGCTAATGTCGCGTTTGCCTCCTTTTTTTTTTTGTTTTCGTTTTGTTTTTGTTTGGTATGTTATTGTTATTTGCCTTGTTTTTGTTTTTTCCGATTGGAGTAGCTGTAGGAAAATTTTATGTTTACGGCGAGGGTTCGCTTTGTTGTGCTGTTAAATCATTTTCAGTGAATACTAAAAATGCAAAGATCGCGAATTTGTGAAGACTTCTAAGTCGTCACCTATCAAAATTACTTTCCATGCCCTCATTTGTTTTCATGGGGTTAGATTTAGGGTCAGGGTTGGTAAAAAGTTATAAAAGGAAACCTTACTTGGGTAAGATAGTCTACATTTAGAAAAGTCTTAATGGCGCCTTTTCCTTAGCCAAATAATAACATTGCGTAACATAATAACTTCGCTATTGTGTATCATATCTTCGTTATGCATGTCACGTCGGTCCGCCAATAAGTCACGCTTTTAATTCACACGTTATGGAAAACTTTATTGAGGAACGATCAAAACTCCATCGTGCTTTCTTTTATTTTATAGGAGATGACCAATTTGTATTCTAATGTTATATTATGGACTCTCTCGGCGAGTTAACATTTGTCAGAACAGTCCATGTGGCAAGTGAAAAGATTTGGATCTGACCAAACAACAGTCAACTGATAGCAAGTTAAGTCTGGTTTTCATTAGCGACGCTAGCTCAAACACCAGCACAACAAGTCGTAGTTCATTAATATGGACTGGGCATAAACACGAGCGCACAAGGATCAAAGTGGCTTTGACATTGACTCAGGAAGTGTTTCATCTGTCGTAATTCGTCATTGTGATTATCACAAAGTTCCTCACGTCTACTCATCCTTAAACCACGTGCCAATGGTAATTTGTGAAGATGGTCGTGGAGTAATAATTTGACGTTTAAAATTGGATATCAAACATATTTCCAGTGTACGGGAGTAACATAAGACAAATCTATGTATGACACATAAAGTGTGGATTCGTTTCAGAAATAAAATTGTGTAGGCGACTGAAAAAAAAAGCGTTTATAGAGGAAGTTTGCATTTACGCCGCTGGGGTTAACATTAAGGGCCTTGACTATTCAAATAACAAAAGGTCATTATCGTTGTTGACGCGTAAATCGAGGTTGGACAGTGCCGCACTGGTCACGTATGACCAAATAGGAAGGGATCACTGAAAGTATTTATAAAAGAAACAGACCTGGAGCTATTTGTCATAAACAGAGGCAACGATCAGAACTGCGAACTGCGGAGGTGAATAAAATCACAGAGAACACAATGGAAACTTCTCCGGTAAGATTGTAATGGACTGTGTACAGAATTTCAGAATTTTAGCCCATTTTTATTTCACGCTTATTACGATACATGTTTCGTCTAATTCACACTTGTGTCGGTCAGTTACTCCCGGAGTAAGCTAATTGTGAGTGCTAAAACAATAGTCAGCTTATTAGATTACTACTTTTCANAGATGACCAATTTGTATTCTAATGTTATATTATGGACTCTCTCGGCGAGTTAACATTTGTCAGAACAGTCCATGTGGCAAGTGAAAAGATTTGGATCTGACCAAACAACAGTCAACTGATAGCAAGTTAAGTCTGGTTTTCACTAGCTACGCTAGCTCAAACACCAGCACAACAAGTCGTAGTTCATTAATATGGACTGGGCATAAACACGAGCGCACAAGGATCAAAGTGGCTTTGACATTGACTCAGGAAGTGTTTCATCTGTCGTAATTCGTCATTGTGATTATCATAAAGTTCCTCACGTCTACTCATCCTTAAAATTGGATATCAAACATATTTCCAGTGTACGGGAGTAACATAAGACAAATCTATGTATGACACATAAAGTGTGGATTCGTTTTGTGTAGGCGACTGAAAAAAAAAGCGTTTATAGAGGAAGTTTGCATTTACGCCGCTGAGGTTAACATTAAGGGCCTTGGCTATTCAAATAACAAAAGGTCATTATCGTTGTTGACGCGCAAAACGAGGTTTGATAGTGCCGCACTGGTCACGTATGACCAAACAGGAAGGGATCACTGAAAGTATATATAAAAGAAACAGACCTGGAGCTATTTGTCATAAACAGAGGCAACGATCAGAACTGCGAACTGCCGAGGTGAATAAAATCACAGAGAACACAATGGAAACTTCTCCGGTAAGATTGTAATGGACTGTGTACAGAATTTCAGCCCATTTTTATTTCACGCTTATTACGATACACGTTTCGTCTAATTCACGCTTGTGCCAGTCAGTTACTTGCGGAGTGACCTAATTGTGAGTGCTAAAACAATAGTTAGCTTACGTATGATGCACGATCCTCGCAGTAGATAGCACTATTTATGCAATAGCGAAAATCAGACCTGAAAAAAATATCAGGCCTGTACGGGATTCGAACCTCTGACCTCTGTGATACTAGTGCAGCGCTCTACCAATTGAGCTAACAAGCCAACTGGAAAGGTTGGATCAATGTATATATCTGACCTAACAACAGTCAACTGATAGCAAGTTGGAGCAACTTCAGAATACCCGTCCACATCATTTACATGTGTCGGGAGGCTTTGAAGAATGAAGCAGAACACAATAGATGCAATTCTTATTCAATGACATGTAAATGAGTCTGGTTTTCACTAGCGACGCTAGCTCAAACACCAGCACAACAAGTCGTAGTTCATTAATATGGACTGGGCATAAACACGAGCGCACAAAGTGGCTGTGACATTGACTCAGGAAGTGTTTCATCTGTCGTAATTCGTTATTGTGATTATCATAAAGTTCCTCACGTCTACTTTTATCGTAATTTGTGAAGATGGTCGTGGAGTAATAATTTGACGTTTAAAATTGGATATCAAACATATTTCCAGTGTACGGGAGTAATATAAGACAAATCTATGTATGACACATAAAGCGTGGATTCGTTTTAGAAATAAAATTGTGTAGGCGACTGGAAAAAAAAAAGCGTTTATAAAGGAGGTTTGCATTTCCGTCGCTGAGGTTAACATTAATGGCCTTGGCTATTCAAATAACAAAAGGTCATTATCGTTGTTGACGCGCAAAACGAGGTTTGATAGTGCCGCACTGGTCACGTATGACCAAACAGGAAGGGATTACTGAAAGTATATATAAAAGAAACAGACCTGGAGCTATTTGTCATAAACAGAGGCAACGATCAGAACTGCGAACTGCGGAGGTGAATAAAATCACAGAGAACACAATGGAAACTTCTCCGGTAAGATTGTAATGGACTGTGTACAGAATTTCAGAATTTTAGCCCATTTTTATTTCACG